GATTATAAGATATACGTCCTTATTAAAGGTATATTACTAATAATCTTAAATAAATTAATACTTATTAGACTAGTAGTACTAATATTTATCCTTTAGTCTTAATACTTTTACCTAATCTAGTTATATTATACTAACTTTAAACACTTAAGTAGACCCCCTTAGCTAGATAGAATTCTAATATATCTTAAGTTTACTTATACTATTAGTAAGGTCTTAATTAGTATTACCTAGGACTAGTTAGTTAACCTAGACGTTAATAGTTAATTATCTTAGTTACTAGTAGTCTTAGTACTAATAAGTTAAGTTTTTTTAGAACTATTACTAAGTTAGTTAAATTATAAAGGTACTATTAGCCTTACTATTAGTAAATAAAGGCCTATACTCTTTTTTATAAGTAATTATATTAAGAAGTCTACTCTTAAACGTTATATACTTTATTAATTAAATAAAAGCTAAAAGGCTAATCCTTATCTTATTTACTATTTTTTTTATAGTCTTAGCGTTAAATTACTTATATATAGCCTTAATTAGGCTCTTATTAGAAATTATATAAAAGCTTTATTACTTTACTTTAGTAATTATATTATTAATATTAGTAAAAAGTGCTTTAGCTAAGTATAAGTCTAAGCTAGAGATTAGTAACTCCCTTATAACCTTTTTAATTTATTCTTCTTTATTAAGGAATTAATTAGCGTCTTATTTTTTATACTCCTTTAAGAAATAGACCTTAGCCTAGACCTAAGGTAAGTCCTTAATTATATCTTTTACTAAAGTTTAATAATCTCCCCCTATATAGTAGGCTACTAGTATACCCCTTAATTAGTCTAGTACTTATATAAGCTTATATTAATCCTTATACTTTTCTAAGAAGTTAATAATATTATCTTTAGAAAAGACTATAGCACTACTTTAGCCTAAAAGGGGTATCTTAAAAAAGTTTAAGTTCTCTCCTTAGTTAAGAACTATATTTACTATTACTTATAGGACCTTAGGCTAAATCTAGGTAGTAAGAGTAGTAAGGAGGGTATTTATAAAAAAGTTAAGTTCCTAAAAGATAGAGAAAGGTTTCTATTTCTAATTAGGTACTATAAGTAAAGGATTAAAAGTGTTACTACTCTTTTTATCCTTAAAAAGATTAATCCCTTTTAGCTCTTAATACTTAGTAAAAGCTAGTCCTCTTACTAAAGTAGTATTTAAAGTTAAGCTTAAGGTATACTTAAAAGCAGCCTCTTAAGAAAAAGTAGTATAGTTATTACTTATTATATTAGTTAGTAGTTATCTAATATATAACTTATTAATTAAGTTAAAGATTTTAATAATTATATTTTAATTTAAACTCTTTAAGATCTTTCTTAAGAGTACTAAAGTAACTTATCTTATTATTTAAGCTAAGGCTATACCCCTAATTAGTAGAATTTATATAATTATTTTTAGCCCTAGCTAAACTTATTAACTAACTTTTAATAAAAAAGGTCTTTTAATTTATTATAATTTCTTTATAAAGTTATAATAGTTACTTAAATTAGTATACTTATAGGGAGTCCTAAGGCTAATAGCTTTATATCTTTAGATTAAGTAACTCTTAAGGCGCTATCTTATATTAATTAACTATAAGTAACTAATTATAATAAACTACTTTACTTATAGGGACCTTTAAAAGCTTTATCTAGCTCCTTTAGTATTTCTATAATCTATCTTAGTTATTATTATAAATTAGTAACCTTTAAGGTTCTAACTTATTATCTTAGTCTTATAATTAGGTAATTACTATTATCTAAGTTACTAATTTATTACTTTATTATCTTATTATCTTTTTAGGGTTTTTTTTATTCCCTTAATTAGTTACTTCTTATAATCTTATTATCTTATTATTATTACTTTTATAATAACTTACTTAGTGTGCTTAACTAAATATCTCTCTAATTAGTTTAAACCTATAGTTAATCTTCTAGAAGAGGAGACTATTAAAAGCGCATAAGGTATAAAGGACTCTTATAGTGTAGTAACTATATAGAACACTATAACTACTAAAAGTAACATAAGATTCCTTACTAATTAGTATATAAATTATATTAATCTATCTAGAATTAATATTAATTATAAGTATTAAACTATAGGATTAAGTATAATTATGCCTTAATTAGGTAGGTAATTACTCCTAATTATCTTATATTATTATAATTAAAAGTAAATTATAAAGAGGCTTTAGTTTAATTAGAAGGTAGGTATAAGTATAAAGGATAAATTCTATATGTCTATCTCTAAACCTATTAATACTAACTTATATCTTTATACTTAATTAGGATTAGAATCTTCTAATTAGTCTGCATACTACCTCACTTTAGGCTAATCGCCCTACTCTGCTCTAATAGTTACTATTATTATTATTACTATTATAAAAATTACTACTACTATAGTTATTACTAAACTATTAATAATAGCTATAGCCTTAGTAGGTATAGTCTACTTAATATTAATTATTAGGTAATAAGGGTAAGGATTTAGTAAGGTACTAGCTATAGTAAAGGCGCCTTATAGTAGTACTAATAAATAACTATAATTAGCTATATACTCCTTTTAATATTATAGCTAGAGCGTATAGGTAAAGGTTACACTTAGGAACTCTAGAGTAGGTATTTAGTAACTAACTTCTTAACACCTTATTATTTTAGTATAATAAGGGGAGAACCTATTAGATAAAGGCTAGCTTTAAGATAAGCTCCTTAAGGGCTTAAATCCTAGTTATTATAGGATTATTATATATAATTTAAGGAAGTGTTATTTCTTACTATTTAGATAAATAAGTCTACGTTTATTTCTATGTCTTAAAGTAGTTATAAATTTAGTTAACTATCTTATTAAAATTATAAATACTATTACTATAGATATAATTAATATAGAACTAAGATACCTTACCTTTTAGTATAATTAAGAAGGTAGGACTAAGCTAGTGCTACTTAATCCTAACCTTACTATAATTATCCTAAAAGATACTTAACTTTAGATTAAGAACGTTATATAGCTTACTATTATACTTTATTTTATTAGTTAGTAGCTTTATAAGGTTAGTTAGCTAATATAGGTAAGGTTATAAGGAAAAAATAAGAATAAAGTTAGGCTTATATAGTAGCTAACGTTATTATAATTTATTATAGCCTTATAACTAAAATCTCTATATAGTGCTTTAAGGTAGTAGGTTAGTAGTAGGCTTATAGTTACTTAATAAGTTAAATAGTATATCTTACTAAGGATTTATTTTATTTATTATAATAGGCTAACTACTTAATTACTTACTATACTAGCTATAATAAGATTAATAAGTAAGGTAATAAGTAGAGTAAGAAGTAAAGTAAGGTATTCTTAGGTTATATAATAAGGTATTAATAAATAAAGTGCCTATATTACCTCTAAGTACTAGGTTTAAGTTAGTAAGTGCCTAGTAGATTTTATCTTATTATAAGAGTAAAGTTAGGCCTTTTTACTCCTGCTTTAGCTAGTAATAATCTACTGCTAATAGATAAGTTAGAGTAAATAAGGTTAGTTATCTTTATAAAGTAATATTAGCTACTATTTATAATAATATTAAAAAAGTAGTAAATAAGGCCTAATTAATTATTAATCTCTTTTTAGGTAAAATATATTAACTAATAATATTATTAATAAATTTAGGATTTTTTATTTATAAGTTAAAAATAGGCTGTTTATAGTAAGTAAAAGTAATATCTTTTTTAGTCTATATATAGAAATTAGCGTTAAGAAGGTCTACTAACTTAGGTGTAATCCTTCCTTTTACTAGATTAATAAAGACTTTATTATTAATAAGATAATTATAAAATGTTAATAGTGCCTTAGTGCCTATAGCGTTAAAGGTAGTAATAGTCTAATCTATAAAATCTAACTAGAAGGTAGTAAGAAGGCAGTAGCTATAGAGGTTAGCGTCTAACTATATAGTAATTATATATATTATATATAATCTAACTTTATAGGCGTCTAACTTATTAAGATTAAAGTTAATATAGTTACCTTATGTTATTAGATTAATATAGTAGATAAAAGCAAGTAGAAGAGGGAGGGGTTATAAGAGGTAGGATAGTAATAATAATAATATTAGAGGATATAAAGGGGAATAAATATTTATTATTTATTAACTTAATAGCCTTACTATTACTAGCAGTAGCTTTTTACCTTTTTTCTTTTCTGCTTATTATTAATATAGATTTAGTTAAGATAAAGTAAGGAAGTAAAGAAAGTTATAATAATAATAATAATAGTTAAGTTATAAAGGATTTACACTAATAGGCTACTAATCCTCTCTACTCTATATAAAAAACCTTACTAATCTGTTATAGTAGTAATCTAGTAATTAATTACATACTAATTAGTGTTAGTTTAATTACTATAAAGGGATATCCTATAGATCACGTAATAAATTGTAATATAGAATATAGTAGTTACTTGTTGTATTAGTTAGTTATAAAGTGAATCCAGACTTATGGGTGGTATACTGGTGGTGAGGTGGATACTGCTGAGGGAGGCAGTGTGTCATGTAAATATCACGTGACCACCTCCCCTGGAGCCTACCTACCGTATACCAACAGCAATATATACCCTGTCTATTTTGGTTTGTTGTGGGTCTATTAACTTTACCTGCAGGAAACCCCGGCCGTGATAAAACCTATTCTAACAAGCACATGAAAAGAAATTCGCAAAGGATACTACAAATGCTCGGCAAAGGCATGCAAGAAAACAACATCGTCCCGTGGAGACACCTGCAAGAGCGATACAATCTACTTTGATGTGACACGAGGCCACTGTAGTAGGACGAAAACAAGATGAGGTGAAGTATCCCATTGAGTGCGAAGTGACCTCGCATAACCCAAATATGGGTCTCTGCAAATGATTACCAACAGCTATTGGATAGTTGGCCTGGATTGCTGTAGTCTTATTGGTCTGAGGTTGTGTGAGGTCACTTCGCACTTAACGGGATAGCCTGAAAGCGTTCATTCTGCCTTCTTGGACGTCTTGGTGCGAAGCTTCATGAGGAGGTAGACAAGAGAGTACGAACTGAGGACGAATATGACGACAATCGCCGCATCGCGCCAGCCGTAGTAGTAGTCGTTGAGGTTGACTGTTCTCAGGTAGTCGCTGCCATCACGGTACTGACACACGCGGCATGCCGCCGTCGCATCCGGGTTGATGAGGTTGCTGCCCGATCCCATGCCATTCATGTACTCCCCCAGGTACTGTTCGCAAGTTGTCCCGTTGGGCGGATCAAAGAGGGCGAACTCCGAATCACGGCAGTTGACTTTGGTGCCCCAGATGTCGAAAACAAGCATGCTTCCCATGAGGTAGTTGAAGGGGTTGAGATAGTACATCCAGTACTTCCAGAAAGTCTGCAGCTGAGGGTAAGGCACAAGGACACCGCAGAAGGAGATGAGCACGCCGATTAGGAGCGGGTTGACCAGGGACGCGAAGACGGCGTTGGGGGCGTAGGCCGCGATGAACTGACCGATGCCGGTGTAGACGAACTCGTACATGAGCATGACGAAAAAGGTCCCGCCGGCACGGGACGAATCGCCGGGGAAGCCGACGGTGTAGTACCAGCAGACGAAGTAGAGGACGGCGCAGATGATGAGATAGGGCACCTCGGAGACGACAGAGCCCGTGACGAAGGCGATCCAGGAGTACATCTTGGACTTCTTCTCGCGGGTCTCGAAGATGTCGCGGCGATCAATGAAGAGGGGCTGCAGCTGGGCGATCACGCCGGGAGCGACGAAGATGAAGTTGAAGATTGTGAAGAGCCGCAGGGTGATGTCGCCCACGGAGTCGCCAATCATCCAGAAAGAGAAGCCGTTGAAGAGCGCAGAGATTACGTGCAGTGCGAACTTGTTGTTGATGTAGTCAACGTTGCGGTAGAGGGAGATATTCATCCGGTGGCTGACAATCTTGACCTGATCCCACAACGAAAGGGCGAACTCGTGGCCATCCTCGGTGGTGCCTGGGGGCCTGGAGGCGGCCTCTTCAATCATGTGGTCGAGCTCCTTGACAACGGCATCGTGCTCGGGGGAGGAAAGCCAGATCTCGTGCCAGTCATTGCCCCTGGATAGGTGTCCAGAAACGACGTCGATCATGTGCTCGGCGGGGTTGGCCTTCTCCGGGCATGGAGCGCCATAGCGGCCAAAATAGTTGCGGACGGTTTTTGCGTTGTCCCCAATGTCGCCAAAGTATACGGTCTTGCCGCCCTTGGCCAGCAAAAGAAGGGTATCGAACTGGAAGAAGAGCTGGGCGGAAGGCTGGTGGATGGTGACGAGGACGGCCTGGCCGGCATCAGCCAGCTTACGGAGGAAGCGGACCGTGTTGAAGGCAGACTGGCCATCCAAGCCGGACGTGGGCTCGTCGAGGAAGATCAGGATGCTGGGCTTCGAGACCAGCTCGACGCCGATGGTGACACGCTTCCTCTGCTCGACAGAAAGACCGTTACCGACGCGGCCAATGAGGGTGTCAGCGAGGTCGTGGAGTTCCAAGAGATCGATGATGGTATCGACGTATGCCAGCTTCTCTGCCTTGGGGGTATCGCGGCTTTGCCTCAGCAGGGCGGAGAACTCCAGAGCTTCACGGACGGTGGCGAAGGGTTCGTGGACGTCGAGCTGCTCGCAGTATCCGGCCAATCTCTGGAAGGAAACGGGAAGGGGGCGGCCGTCGACCAGGATCGACCCGCGGATCGTGCCGTCCGTCTTGCGCTGGGCTAGGACATCGAGCAGGGTCGTCTTTCCAGCGCCGGAGGAGCCCATCAGGGCGCCTAGCATGCCCGGCTTGACATAGCCTTGGACGTTGTCGAGCAGCAGGCGGTCTCCTGACGGGGTCTTGACGGTGTATGAGAGGTTTTTCCAGGTGAAGATGGAGGTGTTGCGGACGAGGCTCTTGTTGACATTGCCGTCGCCACTGTTGCTCTGCTCGTTGTTAACTTTGTTCTTCTCCATGGTAGTCTGCTCGAGGGACTGCATCTCTTCATCCTGGCGGTGGGCGCGGGTGATCTTGGCGTTCTCGCGTGGGATGAGAAGGGAAGAGCCGCCCTCAGCTGCCGGACGCCACTTGGAGGTGGAGTATATGGTGAGCGCAACGAAGAGAGCCCACCAAGCCCAGACGATGCCAAAGTTTCTCCAGACGTGGCTGTGGCTGTACGAGAGTGCCGATAGGTACTCGTCGCCAGTAAGGGTCGTCTCTCCCTGAGTGGCGCCTGAGACACCAGCACACGACTGGTAGGCAGGGTCGGTGTATCCGGGGCCGTTGGGCACAAGGTTGGGTCCGACGCACGGAATCAACTGATTGTGAAATTCAGTCGCCATGAGTGCGTCAAAGGCATAAGACAGGGGATTGATCCAGAACAGCCAAACAAACCAGTCGTGCATTTGAGGCTTTTGGATCATGTAGCCGCAGTACATAACCAGCGCGCTGACCATGAACCCGGAGGCCTTGGAAGCGCCGTCAAAGGTCGTGAAGCCCGCACCGACAGAGCGAAACATGGCCGTCATACACTGTGGTATGTAAGTACGGAGTTGGGATTCAACAAGGACGGTTGACTTACCATGGTCGTTGTGAAAACCACTGACCAGAAGGTGAAGAAGGCCCCCGCCGTCGTCTTGAGGCCGACCATGAAGTACAGAACTACGGAGAAGGTGGAGATTTGGAAGAGGATGACTGGGATATCAGCCGCGATCTGCGCAATACAAAAGGCGGCTGGATGGTAGTAGGCGAAAGACTTGTGTTTGAGCAAGACCGGCCGTCCCGTGAAGGAGTTGGTGACTTCGGACATGGACAGTAGGCTATTGAAGAGGAGGGCAAAGAAGAGCGCGCCGCCCTTCATGAACAGGCCGCCGGTGGTGTTCGGGGACTGATAGAAGAGCGACCCGGCAATGAGGGCCTGAACCAATGTAGAGACCTGCGTGATGATGAAGGTGGCCTTGTCACCCCATACAATCTGATATTGCCGAACGATGCAAGCCCTAACCTGCGTGGCGAAACTCGTCGTGAGTGGGCTGCTATCCGGAAGTTGCTTGTGCTTCTCGCCGGCCACGCTCTGCTGGAACAGTCTTGTCTTCTCTTTCGTCTCCTCTTTTGTCGGGAAGTCGTACTCGACAATCATTCGAGGGTAGATCTCCGACTTCTCGTACTCAGCCTGCAGAGCTTCGGCGTTGCGAGGAAAGGTATTCTCGAACCCCTGCGCGACGGCGCGCTCCGTTGGGACCGTCACGCCGGTAAGAAAGTCGGCGACGTTGGCGCCGTCGGAGTAGATGAAGCCGAGACGTTCCATGAAGGGCCTGGCCTCGCTAGCGGGTCCGTAGTACATCTCCTTGCCGTTGTCGAGAACCAGGACCTTGTCGAAAAGGTTGTAAATACCGTTGCCTGCTTGGTATAGAGTGACGATGGACGCAAGACCGAGGACGTCGGTCATCGCGCGGACGGCTTTGGCATATTCCAACGCCCTGTGATCAGATTAGCTCCAGCTGGCCATGTTCCTGTCCGCTATCGCGAGCTCTGTCTGGTCATATCACGCAAATCAAAAGGAGTCACTTACGTGCTGGCATCCAGGCCTCTAGTGCTGTTGTCCCAGCAAAACACCGAACCCCTACTGGCCATACATTCAATAATGGAAACACGCTTCCTCTCACCGCCGGACACACCGCGAACATACTCATTGCCGACCTTAGTGTCGAACGTGTGTTGGATGCCCATGGACTCGAGTAGGAAATCTCGCATCTCGACACGAAACTCTTCGTTGGACGACACATCTTCGGGCAGGTGGAAGGGAATCTTCAGGCGGGTTGCAAAGTCCATGGTCTGGCCCACCGTGAGAGTAGGGAAGAAGATTTCCTCTTCTGTGTTCATGATGATCTGGCCCCGGTACCGCTGGGCTTCCTCGGCCCTCATCGAGCCGTAATGTACGTCGCCGGTGACCGAGGTGTAGCCCCGGCGATGGTTCGCCAGGATGTTCAGCAGTGTCGTGCATCCCGACCCGGGCCGGCCGAGGACCAGGAGCATCTCGCCGGGCTTGACGCAGCCATGTGTGTTATCAAGGATCGTTTTCAAGGGAGGTTTGTGCCGCGATTCCTTGACGAGTTTGGGGATGTTGAACTGAGTGAGCACGTTCTCGTGTATCGACGCGTCAGAGCTGACGGCCTGTACCGTGAGTCCCTGCCATGTTACACCGAGCTCGCGAGGAGGAAACCCGGAGCGTTCATCCCTGTGCCGGACTGCTTCAACTTTGTGCTTGAGCGACCAAGTAGTGTTGTTGTCAGGGAAGTTGCCGAGTTCTAAAGACGGCTTGTAGTTGGAGGCGCCTGTTAGCGTGCCGTCGGATTCCATGGCGCCTCCACGAGTTGACGAAGGGCTTGATGTTACCTCCTTCCTGTCAGGCGTTATGAATGATGCTGCAAAGACTAAGGTCATGTCACTAAGGGGGAGAGGCTAACAAGGGAGAAGATGAGGGCAGTGTGCTGGGTTTTTATTTATTTCCATTAATCATCGATTTCAACCACATGGTTCATCCGCGTCGGGATCGGTATCTATATGTGATTTGGCCCGCGATAAAGAGCTACCTGAGATCTCCGTATAACCAGCCCCTTTCTGATGATAGCGTACGGGTCCACTAGTGACTAACGGCGAGATTAGCAACCAAACAACCAGCAGCCTAAAGAAACAGCGGCCGGGGCATCAGAGCGTCATGGGCGTCTCGTCATCTTCTCGGATACGTGGACTAAAAAAAGCTTCTTGAGCCACTATACTAGACGCGGAGTTCTGGCCGCCGGCCGCTGATAAATTTGAGATCTATGTCCCTCTCTGATAAAAGAAACGCCGTGTGCTTTGCGGTGCGAAGACCCCGGTGCCCACCGTTGACTCGCGGGATGTGGGTCTTTCGGCATTGGACCCTGCCCGGCGTTCCGGCTAGGGTAGGATCATTTCCCTGAACTAGCAGCGTATTTCAAGAGCTCAAGCAAGCTCATTCGAAGGTCGGACATCGCCAATGTCATGGAACGTGCAGAGTCCGCTGACTAAGCGGCAACATAGCCCCGTTGGCAATGTCCAGAGTGTCGTGCTTGGGCTGGTGTGGTTGCTGTCCGCCAGTGCGGCATGTTTACGTGCGCGTAGAGGCCCCGGGCACGGATGCTGCGACTAGACAATGGTGTGGATGCGTCCGAAGGTTGTTGTGTCAAAGTTTCGGGCGAAGAGCCAATCATAGTCTCAAATCTGAATTGAGTTTGTCCGCTTTTGTCGTTCGCCGCTTAGTCACCCTCATCAAGAAGGCCGCTGAGTCAGCGGGGATTTCGATACATGTACCGAGGGGGGACGGACCTCGGTACCAGCCAATTCTCAATCATTTGCGGAATGAGAGATGTCGATAAGGCATATTCGCTACGTCACGAACAAGGGGATATTATGCGCTTTGCCCATCGTTGTCTCGGAGGAAGGATATAACGAGACAACTCGCCGCGTAAGCGGCGGCTATTTCCGAAGCAGAAGGCAAGATGAGGAAGAGAGCGTGCGATTCCTGTCACAGGAGGAAGGTATGATTTCGGACGGGTTTGACGATGAGTTGTTTCTCACGGTACATACTGATTGCTCAACCATAGATACAATGCGATGGAGCCGTTCCTCAATGTAACTGGTGCAAACACCACAGTATGACCTGCACCTTTCATCGGGCCACCAAGGTGAAGAAGCGCGTAGCCGCAGCAAGGTAAGTTCTCAGTCCCCTTGACATACCCCGGCATGATGAGTGGTCGTATGAGGCGGACATCAAATATTTACGAAAAATGCAGGGCCGGGTCTGAGAAAGATCTGGTTGCTCGTCTCAACCGCATCGAACAAGCTCTCCATGCGACTCGACGGAGCCAGGACGCAGGGCAGGGGCAAGATGGCCAGACGTCATCAGCAGCGCCCTTGTCCGACGGGACCGACCCACCAGCCATTAACGGTACCCCGGAAACAAGACGAGGCCGAGCCTATGACTCATCTGTCCGGGCTTCCGGCGCAACCGCAGGGAAGATGCACTTTGCCGGGTTTTACTTGGGAGACATTGGCTCTCACAATGGTATCCCCTTCTTCTCTCAAGATGGCCAGGACTGGATTCGATCCAGGGCCGGCGAGGATGCTTCCTTCCAAGCTCTATTTGCCATGGGACCGCTCTGGCATACCCAACACTCGGTTCCCATCTTTCTCGATTTTCCGCAGCAGAACTCAGGAGGGGGGCTGCCTGACAGAGCTGTCGTGGAGGAGTTCCTGGCCCATTTCCGAACGTCCCATTTCTGCTTGACGTTCCCACTCATTGACCATGTCCTTTTCCTCGACACCATCGACCTAGCATATCAGCCTCCCCAGGGTGCGTCGACACTCGAAGTCGTGACGGCCAAGGCTTGCGTGTTCGCCTTCTTGGCTATCGTCTCTCTGTTCCAATCGGAATGGGAGTCAACACCCGAGATAGATGGAGAGGCATGTGTCGCCGCAGCACGGAGCTTGATGGCGATCTTCATGCAAGACCCCAACATTGACGCCCTTCAAACACTCTTCATGCTGGTAATGTCCGGTGCTCAAAGGTCCTATCAGAGAGATATACTGATTATGTTTGTCTTGGCAGACTTTGTTCCACATGTTCTGTGGCCACCTGCAACAAGGGTCCATGTTCCATTCGGCCACATGCCGAATCTTGTTCATGCTTGGAGCACACCTTGAGCAAGGCAAAAGCCACGCCCCGGGCCAGTCATCCAAGGCCGACCGCGACGGGAGTTGGCGCGTAAGAAACCAGGCCAGAAGGATTTTTTGGTTGGCGTACAAACTCGACAAGGATATTTCTCTCCGGACTGGCCAGCCTCCCTGTATTGACGACGAGCACTGCGACCTGACGCTACCACCTGCAGATTGGTGGACGCGAAGTTCCGATGACCGAGACGGAGCCTCCCCATCGTTCCTTGACGAATCGACCATCACGTCAGCCCTCCAACCAGATTCTCTGCAGCTGACAATTATCAAGTCCAAGACCTGCAGGACGCTGTACTCGATCTCGGCCCTGAAAAAGGGCGATGCCGAATTGCTTAGGGACATCCGCGAGCTAGACGACGAGCTTGAAAGTTGGCGGATGTCTGTGCCGTCATCTTATCGACCGACATTGACGTTTCCTCGAGGAAAAGTAGTTGTTCGGAATGGTCGGCTCGGCATGGAAGAGATCATTCTTCATTTCGAGTATCATTACCTGATGGCCATGATCCACCGAGCAAGCGGAAGATGTCGTTGTTGGGCCAGCGGCGAAAGCAGCGGCTTGGAAGGAGTAAGCTCGAGCCAAGCACTGTCGGTGCAAGCGAGCCGATCGACGCTGCACTTTCTCCGAGCAGCAATCCATGGCGTGGAGCAGGTGGCATTCTGGTAAGTAATTAGCAACGTGCCTCTTTCCCCGGTTGTACCGCTTTGCTAACATGGGTCACAAGGTTGATGGTGTTTTACCCAATGTCGGCGATACTGGAGATATTCTGCAATTTGCTCCTGCACCCTCTACACCCACAGTCAGAGGAGGACCTTGAACTTCTAAAGTCCGTCCCGGTGCTCGTTGAAGGGCTGCGGACACGCAATCTGACGGAGAAAGAAGTAGCACATGTGAAAATGATTGATGATTTCGTGGCCGAGCTGACGAGGCTGGGGAAGTGTGCCATGATCAAGGCGCGACAGGAACAGCAAGCCGCCTGAGACGGACGTACGTGATGTTTGCATGAGGTCGCCGACTTCTTAAACGTGATACAAAGCGGGCGTTGGGATTTTTCGTATGTTTTTGGGCACTAAATCCTTACTTGGTCAGCTCGTACTGTATACATACTGACCTTGAATGGATAATAGAGTATCAAAAGTGTTGGAAAAACGTACCTCATATATACAGATAGACTGACCTGACCACCCGATATAAACTCAAACGTACCAGTGTAAGTGACGTAACTCTACATTTCCACCATGGCTCGTGCGTCGTCGCGGAACGCAAGTTTAGCCGAGACGGCAGTACGTACAGTATCCAGGCAACGTTTGTTTATCGCGGTTCGGTTCGGAAGCAACCAGGAAAGACTCCTGCCGCTTTTCGCATTCTCACATACATCCCATACCACATCTACCGGTACAGAGCACCGGTTGGCACCACAACATCAGATCTAAAACCCTACCATTTCGATATAAAGTCCAGTAGCGTCTGAACCTGCTTCTTGGGTCCTGTCGCTCCGTCAGCCATTCGTCCTTGTTTACCATGGTAGGTTCGGCTCCACCGCAGGATAAGAACGAGACTCTGCCCAACCTGGCGCTGCCCATTGCAGCCAGTGGCAAACCCAAGTACCGCGATGATTCTCTCGCCTACGCACAAGGAGAAACTTTGGATCGGATGATTGGACAAATGGTTTCCTGTCTGCACATCGCGACCAGCGGCGATGTTGGACAGTCTTGGATGCTACATTAGACGACGACCTAATTTTGACCCTTGCATGTCCATGTCAGACGCCAAGCTCGGACCCGATACGGCCCATCTTCTCCACAAACACGTCAGTCCCATGGATGGAGCTCTGGACGAACGATCACCAGGGTTTTGGAAGAATGGCCGGTTAATTTGCTGCCGCACGGCCCTTGTTCAACAGTTTCTGGGGTCCTCGAAGTCCTGGCCACATCTAGAAGGCAGTAATGCGGGAGCCTGTGTGCTAGGTACTCGGCATGCCACCCACTCATCTTCGGTCGTCTCCAAATTCGCCGAGCCTCTCCCCGAACCCGCGTGAGCGCACACCTCTTTTCCCCTCACGAAAGCTGGGGAATTCGGGGACCCCTGTGCATTCGATTGTGGTGTGGCCCATTGAAATACCACCGCCCTCGCCTCTGTTGCTCGTCGTTGAGGCTGCTTGCTCTGCCTGAACTTATTGACGACAGAAAACGCCATTCTTTGGAGGCGACGGGAAGGCCATCGAGTCTCCAACCAACGAGCGCAGACAGCTATCGTATATACCTTTTCCATCGCACTAGACACGCCTTCCCTCCAGCCGGTAGCATGCTCGTCAACCAGCCCATCCGTCCACGGCCGATCAAAACTCGGTCAAGAGCAGGTTTGTCTAAGCCCTTCTGCCGGGTTTCTTCAACTGTCTGACATTTGGCCGTGCCATCCGCAGGTTGCAAATATTGGTAAGTCAACTACTCATACCCGTCTGAGGATTCTTCCGCTAACATCTCCAGCCGAGACAAGGTTGGTTACCTTGCTCATCACGTATCCCGCCCGAACAACTAATAACAAACTCTTGTACTAGAGAAAGAAGTGCTCCGAAGAACACCCACGATGCCTTCGTTGTGTCCAAGCCAGCGTCGATTGCGTATACGAGCCAATCAAGAAAAGAAAGCGAAGGGCATCAACTAAGCCAACTGAGATGCAAGACACCGCTGCATCGGACGATTCGGACAGCCCTGTAACCAAGAGCAGCATGCAAACAAGCCCAGACGCGTGCATTCTCACTCCCCCTGATATGCTACAGGCTGGAGCTGAAGATTCTCTTTCGCCATCGACATCTGTGGGCAACAGTCTCTCGGCGTCTATAGGCTCCCTCTTGCCTCTCTACGATGATATCGAGAATGTGTACACCTACGAGCTTGGGCACGGGGACTCAGACATGTACGAGAGCGAATACACAGCGGTCACGGATATGAGCCCCCATCAGAAACCATCAGACAGACACCTGCCGTTTTCTCTCGTAACTCTCGATGACGACTTGCAGTCGCCAGACCACTCGTTCTTTGCGGCTAGTCTCGACACTTGGAACGAAGCTACATGGACGACCATCTCTCCGCCGCTGCTCAACCTGCTTCCACCAGCATACCATGGTGTTTCCGACTGCCCAGAGGACACGGGCTTGCTGGAACACTACTCCAAAGTCATGTTGCCTGCGATGGGGTTCAAAGAAGACGGCAAGAACCCTTACGAGCAGTATATCATCCCCCTATCACAGAGAAGCTCTGCAGTTCGGAGTGCTATCTACGCCTTGGCCAGCGTACATCGAGAGTACATTGGTCTTGAAAATACCGAGGGTTCTGCAAGCTTCCACGAACGAGCAGTGACTGGGCTGTCCGCTATTATAGAAGACGGGGATGGCTTTGAAGAAGCGCTGGCAGCCATAATACTTCTTCTACAGTATGATTTGGTAAGACAAAGTCTTCGTATGAGTTGCAACATGAACTTACTAGTGTAGCTCACGCAGCGAAGCCTGCCCGATGTCATTCGTAACCATCTCCAAGGCGCATGGCATATTATCAGCGCCATGCCGTCCCCCAGAATCCCCAGTGTTGAGTTCTTCGAGCAGGTCAGTTCTCAGAGTAAATGTAACATGCGTTATATCACTAACTAGAAAAAGGTTTTTCGCTACTTTGACGTACTCAATGCTTTGACGAATGGATCGTCTCCAGTGTTTGCGGCCCCCTCATCTGCCCGAGCTTATTCGCCTGGCAGCTCACCACCTTCTACGATTTTCAGTGGCATCGACCCCGTTTTCGGTATGGCGGATGATCTTTGGCCTACTCTACATCGCCTTGGGGAACTCATCGCGATGAAGTGCGAACTCCAGGCCACCATGGCGTCAGGGCAAACGTCCAAGTTTGCAGTTCTTCGGACCGAATACCAGACGGCCTACAAGGCTATTGAAAGAGCGTTGGAATCATGGAGCCCAGTCTTGCCACCGGGATTTTCATTGGTCAACCGCATTGTCGATGGCCCTGAACACGCATCGGAGGCCGAGCTCGCCAACACCAGATGGATCACCAGTACGGCGCTCGCCTACCGACAGACCGCACTCGTCTATCTGTACAGCACCATCTCCGAGTACCCTTCGTCTCACAAATTGGTTCAGAAGCATGCGCAAGCAGCTCTATGGCACTGTGCAGCGTCCGTATCACACGGCGGGACGGGACTTTCGATGCTGTGGCCTCTCTTCTTCTCCGCCTGTCATGCCATATGCACTCGAGACCGGGGCTTGGTGCGGCAAGCTTTCACAGCTCTTGGCAGCAAGAAAGGTGTGGTCGACACAGAGAAGCCCTGGGCTGTGGTCATGGATGTGTGGAGAAGGATGGACATGCGGGCCTATGGCAAAGAACAAGTAGGAGCAGAGGCATGGCCAGACCTCTGGAAGCAGGTGGCGGCAAGCATGAAGGTCGGCCTCGTTTTTGGGTGAAGGCAGCACCTGCAGGAGGCAATGCGGTGTTTGGGCTCACAGACATGAGAATTTCTGGATTTGCAACTTTCACTGGGGACGTTGTCATGATATTACGGCGACGACACAGCGAACACTTTCGGCATTTTACAATATCACGGGGAAAAGAAACCGGAGTACGGGGTGCTGGACACCGGAAAGGGGGATCAAGCAGATGCATCAATATACCACAGTCATTTTCACCGGAACCCCTTAGGGCCCTTTGACGGAGAACATCACAATGGCAAGGCGGCTTGGGATCCACGCTCTAGACTGGCCGTCAGTCTTGGGCGTGTGGAGCCTATTGAGCTCCCATGTCCAGCAGGTTGATACAGCTCATGATTGCATCCATTCATCCATGGACCCGCCACTCCTTCAGGTAAGCCACATTGGCTTGGCCAATACCAACGACACTGTCATGATTGTCCGCCAACCAACGCTGGGGAAAACGGAGCCGCCTCCCTGCCAGGGGGGGAGAGGGTTATTCAGCCTGATTGTCCTGCAGATCCAGGGACCGGGGGGCACGTTGAGTACCCGCACCTCATGATGGTAGGACTCCTTCTGAGCCCCAGGTGCCCAGGAATAAGATGCCTTCTCCAACGCCGAGACTTTGGCGCATTGCGGCAAGAAAGCGGCCTCTTCTGGCGGGTGGCTGCCGATCAAGACATTCGATTTCTTCGTCTAGTGTGGGCGCACCCTTCATCACGCAAGACATACGTCTCAACCACACAAACATCACCCCCAGGATACGCGGTGCATATTCCGAAAATGTTAATTAGTCCGCGCCTCCTTGCTTCTGGAACCGAGATGTGCGATTTCTGGCTTTGGGGGACTCAATCAAAAAAAGGGTGGCGAGATGGGAGGGAATCTAGCAAGTCAGGTCCCACGCTCACCCTTCTTCTGCTTCCTGGATTTAGATTGCGCTCGACGCAGTCTATGTAGGTAGGGCTGAGTGTTGCTTCATATTCCGAGGCGAAATGTCGCCAAATGCGAAGCTCGTCATGAGACGCGTTGCCAGACAAGGGGAAAGGTTTGGATCAACCGCCAATCCATCCAGATGGGCTCATTTGCTCCGCGCCCTGGGAATAGCAAATGATTCACGCAGGGCCGCCCGCACACCGGCCGGCCGGTATTGGTCATATCTCAGCTCAGCGTTGGGTGGACCAGTCATTGCCAGAGGCGGTAACACGAAAGTATGCGAGCACAAGCACACGGCAACTGGCCTAGCGCCCCCAAGCTGTGAAACCAGACGGCGCGCGCGTTGGCGCATCATGTGATGGACACGGATTCGGGCTCGATTTGCGAGAGGCGTGAGAGTCTGACCTATTGCTGACTGACGCCAGCCTTGGCCGGGGTCTGCCTGGACCGCAGCACGTCGTCCACGTTGCGCCTTCGAAAAGCCCGCTCCTCCTATTCATAAGTAATCGATGAGCAGAAGATAGGCTCGTGGTAACACAGGTTACCCTCAACACTGGAGAGAAGTGCAGTGTTTCCGTTCCTTCGCTCTGATTTGCGCGTAATGTGTGAGTGCGAATTTTCCAGCTTTCGGCTTCGCGGACGGGTTTGCGGTTCAGTGACTCCATGCACCCCACCACCAGAACCGGTCACTCTTTTGATTGGTTCGGCTCAAATTGCCCTGTCGATAAGAAAATGGTGCGTCGCTGGTGGTCCTAGAGAACATGTTGGCCTGGTCCAGACGGCACACGCAGCCGGTTTCGCTGGTCATGTGTTGGAAGCACTGTTTCGACTAGAGGAGTAATTCTCTCACGGGCGGTTTAGGTGGTTGCAATGCGCTAGCGACAGTACTAAAGTGATGTATAAGGCACAAGAAGGCGAACAGCACTGCCGACTATCACGAACGTATCGAAAAACGTACTTCTAGTCTGAAGATCGACGGGAGATGTGGCCGCGCGGATTACAGAGCGTAGCATTGTGCCGACTGGCCTGACACCTAATTCACTAGGTGACCAATCGGAGGCGTTGAACGAACAGCTGAGTCAGGAAGGGAAAAGCACGGAAAAGAAGGTCAGAGAGGCAAATGTCAATGTAATATTGGGAGGGGTCCATGATTACAATATATACATTATTGCGTCCTGTAGATTTCCAAGATGAAAAAGGCATATTATAGATCACGAATAATCTGGGACTCCAAAGGAGGTCTAACCTCCTGGAATGATTGAGAGCTTTCATTCCACATAAAATCTCTGCTTCCCCTAAGGCTCTTCTTTTGGGGATGTGTAGATGGTTTCAACCCCTATTTGACAACTCAACGCTACTCGTCTGTCCCACCGGGGATCAACGATCCGCTATTGGCTTCGGCCTATATTTTCTAAAAGACGGTCATCAGACACAAGGGGTGTAATGAACCGCAGCGTCTGATCTTTCGGAGAGAAGTAATAGTTGATTCTTCTAAGTCTTATGTACGAGAGAAATATCAGGTAGAAATACCCTTCCCAATGTAGAGTCTATCTGTTAGTTAGCCACGTCTGTGGCGCTTACCACTGGTACCAGCCACAAGAAGCTATTCCAGCTTCACGACAAGGGTTTATTCAGCTTAGTGAATAAGCAAACCTCTAGTCGACTTTCAGCATTTTGATTCTACCCATATAGACGCTGCCAGATGACAGCAAGACAGAATTACTTTAGTGCTGTCGTAGTAGATCCATATGATATAAGGCGTTAACTGCTGCTTGCGATTAACAGCGTCGTTTTTGCGACAGTTATGAGCCCAGTTCGCTCTGGTGTGCCAGAATGGCACCAGCCCCAGAGTTTAGCGTCTAAGCGTCATAGACCCTGCAGGTTTAATTCCCGCGCAAGCCTATAGAGAGGTCGCATTAACTCCACTAGATAAGTCAGGCGGCAACTAAGAAGCGTTGTGTCAGGTTCCTGCCCTGGGGACGTCGACCTAGGGGGGGTATGATGGCTTCCCTGTTAACCTAGTGATCATGTAGGCAGACAGATCACATGGATAAGATCTCTGCGATCTGGGGGGGTATGTTGTAGTGGATCTATATGATATAAGGCGTTAATTGCTGCTTGTGATTAATGACGTTGTTTTTGCGACAGGTGCGTATTTCTTCATAGATCGGACGAAAGCTTAAATGCGTTTCTATGAATCTCCTTGCTTGAAGTTGAGAGAACCAGTTGCATCTACTTCTTACTATGAACGAGGATGGAGCAAGCTGTTCTCCTTTAGTAATGACTTACTTGCTTAAGCTGGTCATTGGGTTAAACAAATGTAGAACAGGAATGCCCCCGTCGCGGCACTATGTTGCATGTGGAAGTCTGCATGGGTGTCAAGCTGAGGCGGAAGAAAAGCTCATCGGGCATCATAAAACAAGCAGGCTTCGCTTACGCTATTCTTCTTGACCACTTGCGAGACCGAGGAGTGCTATGGGATAGACACGGCTACGCGTGTGTATGTCACTGAGAAATTGATGATTATGAGATAAAGGCCGGAACCAATTCTATTTCATATCTTTTGAGGAGCCGGACATGCCTTGTCTGCTGTGATGCAAGATTGGGGTCCTCGAACATCTTTTCATAAACTTCTTGGAGACCAACTTCATATTTCTCCGGTGAGCCTATCGTCAAGGACTTGAGACGTCGTTGAAGATGCTCCTTTGGGAAGAACTGTTCATGATTGTTCGGGATCCCATATCTCCTGATGGATGTTCAATCCGGGTGAATAGATGACACATGCGCCTGGTCTGAGTCAATATGTCCGCTTGTAATGAGCAATCCAATCGAGAAACAGGTAATCAGTGTTTCGGACTGCATCCATTAAGACAAAACTTAGTTTCCAAAGCTTCCGGAGGGGTCGGCGTGGAGGTTCCGGTTGAAACATGAATACCCCAAGCCTGTGCTCTGACCAAGCGCGTAGCCCTCAACTGACTCTTTTCTTCCTGCTCCATCTATCTCGAAGGGACAGGAAGAAAGATACTGGTGCCGAAAGACCTGACACATGATGGGCTGTCTCTGACTCTCGTCTCGATTTGGCTCCTAAGCGTGCATATCACCGTCCTCAATATTCACCGTGAGTCACTGGAAGCTTGCCTGCTGACTCGTCATGGCGGGCGAGCCGAAAAGCTGGCTCCAGGACCTGGGTATCGCCATTGAGGTTTTCTGTCCTGTTTTCGCTCTTGTTGTCGTCATACTGCGACTGTATATCAGGTTTGATACAAAGAGCCTCGGATGGGGTAGGTCACGGCCTGGCAACTTCAAAGTGACTTTCTAACAGCCATCTGCATAGATGATGCTTTAATCTGCGCTGCATTAGCCCTCACTATAGGCTTGGGTGTCGGTTCCATTATATGTACGTTCACTGGATACGGACACTTGATTCCATAAACGCTGAGAAGTTTCACAGGTATGAAGGAACTTTTTATTGGTATACACTATTGGGAGATTCCACCATCCGCAGACCTTGGGAATGGCATGCTATGGATATTTATTGTCGGCGTAATATACAGTCCCATCTTGGCTCTCACGAAGCAATCAATTCTCGTCTTCCTGCTCCGACTCTCCGGAATCAGAAACATTGTCCGGAACGTCGTCTGGTTCACTGCGATTTTCAACATTTCTCTAACGATTGCGACCTTTCTTGCTATCATCTTTCAATGCACTCCTGTCGAGGCATTTTGGAACACGTCAGTCCCCGGCCAATGCATCGACAAATTCGCTCTTGCTATCACGTCCGGGACTTTGACCGTCCTTACCGATATCGTCATTATTGGTCTTCCCTTCTACATCTTTCTCGGGCTGAAAATGGGAAAGAAGAAGAAGAGTTGGTTGATGGGCGTGTTTGCACTAGGTATCATGTGAGTCAACTCCGACCTGGTATTCCTATTTAGCTGTTCATCTAACTACTCCATAACAGTGTGACCGCCGTCAGTATCGTCCGTCTTTATTTTGTGGCACTAAGCTTTGTCAATGTAACGCCAGACAAGAATTTCTCTCTCGGATTCTGCGTTTCGCAAATAGAGTGCTGCTTGGCTATCACCACAGCCTCCGCCCCTGCCCTGTGGCCTCTTGTCCGCAGGTGGTTGTCGCATCACAAGTCCACGAGGAACGAGGTATACTACAACCGTGAATACAACACAAGCCATTTGAGCCGGGTAAGAGCCTCAGATTGTCCCTTTATAGGTGATAGCAGTGTCAAGCCTGATGGCCGAAGGGCTCATACCGACGAAGGGTTACTTATCGGACCTTCTATGCAAGATCCGGACGATGAGTGGACGAAGAGCATAAGTTTATTCCATATAGCCAACTCTGTTACAACGACCGATGGAGATTCCAGACAGAAGACAATCGTGGACGATGGATAAGTCGGCAACTCTGCCAGCGTGTACAATGACCTGCAATTCATATTATACTTTCATGTCACTGGGTAAATAGCTTTGATGAGGCTATCATAGACAGATAATTCTCTTAATATTCTCCTACGGTACTGGATTTAGGCACTCTCTGCAGCCAAATCTCACCCCCTTTAAGCTAGAGGGTGGTTCGTTAGCAGCGATACCACGTGCACTAAAGACAACTGAGTTGATGCAACTGCACCGGAACGTGGAACCTGATTCAAAGGTAGATACGTGACTAACTTGACTCTGGAAAAGCCAAATCACATGCCCTTGGATGGATGACAAATTGATAATTCGATCTTGATAGCAGGGTATCGCCTCAAACGACCATATTGCACGACCGCAAGACACAGGTTGATTGCTTAAATATTAATGTCAGGCGCCCGCTATCTTATTGACACCTTTCACGTATTGTGATCTTAGTTCGTAAGCAAGATATATTAAGTCAAATCACACGGTTTAAACCCGGCCAGGTGAGATTGATATTCCAGGTTCAACGCCTGATTGCTATGCCATGATCGCATCACATCATAATTCATACAGAGCAGCTTGACCAAAACTATAGGTAGTTGTGCGGTTCAATTCAAATCGGGGACCGAAGCAGGAGCAGTGACACCTTCTTCGTCTCTCTTGGCGATCCCCTGCTTCTTCTTGTCTCGCTTGTAGAGGTAGGCCACCGAGGCTGTGATAGCAGCTTGAGCACCAAAGGCAGCTGTCGAGAAGATGAAGCCCTTTTTGAAGGTTGGAGCGTCAACTTGAGGATACGTCAGGATTGGTACCCAGGCGTTGAACGCGTAACCCAACGAGTTCATGATGCCAATGACGATGGCGCGCTCCTCGGCATCAGCACCGCAAATTTCGTTTGTCCAGCTCATGCTGAGCGGTCCATACGGCACTGAAGCGCGCTGCAGCAAAAAGGCAAACCACTTCAAGCCGTCCGGGACGTTCCAGATGGCAAGAATCAAGGCTGCAAAGCCGCCAAGAAAAGTGGAAATAGACATGATGCTAGCACGATGACGAATTGCATCAGATATGATAGCAAAGGAGACGGTGAGAACCAGCTGGACCGCAGAGGCCGCTGTAGGAATGATGTTCTGATGCTTTTGGTCAGCTTCTGTTAGGGACCATCTTGCCACTGGAAATAACTCACAATCTTTTCCACACTCTCGCCCCTTGACTTCAGCCAGAGCGAAAAGGGGTTGACACTGCTCGACGGGCCGATGTTGATGAAGATGATGTAAAGAATCGACAACAAGTAGACGTGCCATCTTCCAAAGATCCTTTTGAAAGCAGATCGTCCCAGCTTTGTCCGAGGAGCACGGCCGACGCTGGCCATACGCTTGCGAGCTAACTCCCGGTCCTGTCTCGACATTAGTCATCGTTCAAACATATCAGAGATACATCTAATACACACATTCTCGTTAAGGTAGAATGCCCTTGTGTTCTCCGGGAGATCTGGTAGAAAGAAGAACCCCGCAATGCAGATGGGCAAGCTGATGACTCCGTCCATGATCTAAGAGTCGCGGTCACGTCAGCATCGAGGTATCCCCACATTATCAGATCACGCCATCGGGAAAGGGGAGGGAAATAAGAGCTTACAAATAACCACTTCCAACCAGTAAGCCCATGTACACCGTTGAGGCCACGGTAGACGCCAGCTTGGAGATAGCCTGAAAACATGCTGGCCGCAGCCGAAGAAGCGTGGAAAATGCAGGCCCTCTTGCCCAGCTCAGACGGCTTGTACCACGATCCCAGGATCGTGTGAGCGGCCGGATAGAAGATGGACTCCGCCAAACCGACGAAGAAACGGATGGCAATAACGTGATTCGAAGTCTTCGCAGCCGCCAGACAGAAAGTCAAGACTGTCCAGAGCAGCTCACAAGAGGGCACCCAAATGGATGGTCGCACCTTTGTGAGGACGATCTGCGAGGGGATTTGACCCACCACGTAGCCGACGGTCCAGGCTGTGTCGATGAGGTTGATTTCGTTGCCATTCATATGAAGGTCTTCCTTCATGCCGCTGACAAATGCGTTGCTAATGTTTGTCTGATCAAGATTCTTGATGAAATAGCCGAAGCTCAGCATTGTGATCAGAAAGACGTCGAGCTTCTGAATGAAAGCGCGTTCCTCTGGGGAGCGATCGGGCTCGTAATCCCATATGTACGCCCACCATGGTGCCTTCTTCTTTGCGATGGCTGTCGAATTATGCTCGTCCGAGAGCGAATCATCCATCGTCCCTCCTTTGGCAGACGAGGATGCGTATTCATGCTCTGACCCCATTCCGAGCAGAGGTGAGAGCTCTATCGAGTTCGGTAAATTAGAGTGTTGAAATGAAGGGGATCCGGGCTTGAGACTGAAGAGAAAATGAAAACCATTCGCGAAGATATGGGTTAAATATCGTACCTGATTTATGTATCTCGCTCCTTGAAATCCTGGCCATCGCGCTGCGCTAAATTAACAGTGGTTTCCAAGTCGGTCACAATCTCCCGAATGCCGGAAAGCCTCTAGATAACACTCGGACGACTTAGAGGACTGAATGGATTATCGGAGCGGATGATGTGCTTTGACGCGCTGATGATTCGCTCCCCCTTGGCGTGGGGTGTGTCGCCATCGCGGGGCCCCGTGTCGTGATCCGGATATCGCTACCTCATTCTCTCAAAGAAGCGACCATAGTGCTGCCGTTGCTGCCGCGCAATCACCCGCCGCCACGGAGGCTTGCGTGACCCAGACCATTAATAAGATGAGCTGCAGCTCGGGGCCATTAGCTGACGGTCTCACAGAACCCTTACGATGCCGCTCGAGTTTACGGTAGTTGGTTTTTTGTTGGTTCATCAGATTCCCGGGCGCTTCTCCGTAGACCACCCGACTATAAGAACAGCACCAACCCCCATGATAAGTCCTACACAGTGAAGAATAACCGGAAGATGGCTGGTGGCGTCGAACCAAAGCTCCGCAAAACCGGGTTACCGGGCGCCGCGCGACTGGTGTACGGCCGTGGTTGCCCCATACGCGCGGTAGACGGACCCGACAGACTGCATAAATGCCGCCTACCTGCAGGTACCTATGGTCCGCAAAGAGACTCAAAATTCCGATCTCGATGCAGCTGCAGATGACGGTGCAGAATTTGGGTTGTGACAATCCAATCAAAAGTCCTGGCTTTTCGCAACGCTGAAAGATCCAAATTTGCCTTTCTCATCAACGTGATGGTAATGAACATTGAGTGTTTGTGAGCTTCGCGATAATGACGGGGGTAGATAGATACGACCGACTGACTTTCTTTGTACTTATCGCTAGACCGTTACCCTAGTGATATTCCGAGATGACCATTAATTAGTTTAGCCAGCTTCCCGATACCAAAGTGCCAAGCTTCTTTGCCGACCCTTGCCAAGCTCGTAGCATCGGGAAATCTGGCACAGAACTATACCAAGAACAAATGATGTTGGAGGTGCCCTGTAGCAAGAGGCTGAGGAACGACACAACTTGGGAAACGGCTGCTGTCAGCCGCTTCTTGCACGATTCGAACATGTTTTACAGCAGTAAAAGCAGGAAGAGATCAAGTAGACCCGCTATAGATACCGACATAAACTGCACTAGAAGTCTAATCGCGGTGGCATGGTTGTCATGACAGTGATACGCGAGACAGTCAGTTCTGGCAAATGGTGAGATTAAGATTACCGGTGAGAGTACAGGGCTTAGTATTGCTGTATATAGGCATATATTCAAAGGTCAGTGTGCATCCTGCTTTATGAAGTCCGCGGCCCTCTCTGCTACAGCATATACCATGGACTGGATATTAGCTCTCGGTATCAGAGGAAACACACTAGCATCAACCACCCGCAGGTTCTTCACTCCGTAAACCTTGAACTTTTCATCAACGACGCCGCCCTTTTCCCTTGGAGACATGGCGCATGTTCCGCAAGGGTGGTACTCGCTCTGCATACTATTTCGCACCCAATCCTCCACGTTTTGGGTCGTGAGCTCGTGATAACCGGGTTGGAAGACGGTACCGTCGCCCTGAAGCAGGTCACTCAACGGCTTCGTTCGCGCAACAGTTTGGAGGTGGAGGGCGATGGTTTTCAATAGCTGAACGTCGAGCGGGTTCGAAAGGTAGCGTGGATCAATCTCTGGGTGGGCGGTCACGTCGGCAGATTGGATGTGGACTGAGCCTCTGGATAGGGGGTGCTCGAGGACCCCCAGAACCGAGAGAAAGTTACCAGGCGAGCCGGCGTTGAAGAGTTTCGTCGTGTCGGAGGAGAACTGGGGAGAGATGCCGCCTTCAATGGTGAGCTCCTGAGCGATAGCCTCCGACTTCAAGTCCCGAAAGACAAGACGATACTGTTCAGCCAGCCCTGGGATATTGCTCTTAAGAATGGGAGGGTCAAAGTTTAGAGTGGGTGCAATCTGCTCAAGGGACAGAAGCGCCGAGCTGGCGCCTGCCGAGGATAGACGACCTGTTTTCGTCTGTAGGTATAAATCGAGTTGCTCCTGGAAGTAGGTTGCATTGGAGTAGTCCTCATTCGTTGGCAGCCCTGTCTTGACGGCAAATCTGAAGGATGTCAGTCTAATCAAAGGCTTCTGATATGAAACCCGTATCAAGCCATAGCCACTCACCCAAGGGGGACGTAAACATGGTCCTGTAGGTTCTCGCCGACATTGGGGTTGTCCACCAGTACTTCGATACCGTGCTTCTCTAGGATTTCCCTGGTGCCAATGCCGGACAATTCGAGCAACTGTGGCGAGGCTATGGAACCCGCAGCAAGAATTACCTCCTTTGCGGCGATGGCTTCGACCTCGTCGGCACCCTGAGTCCACATGACACCTGTTGCTTCGATGCCGTTTTCATCATTTCTGAACAGTATTCTGGACACGTGGGATTCTGTCATGACCTTAAGATTTGCTCGCTGACGTGCAGGTCCGAGGTACGCATTCGCCGCATAGCTGCGCGTCGCATTCTTGATGTTGAGAAGGTTGACGTAACCTCCCAGCGCCTTTCCGTCCCGTGGATCGCCCTTGACGCCCAAACCAAGCTTCTCCATGGTCCTCGGCCACGCCTCGAGAAAGGGGCTGTACAGCTTGGGGAACTCATTGACGATGGGCCCGCTGGTTCCGTGCACGACTGGGTCGACATAGTTAAGACTGAGATCGCTCTTCTGCTGAGCCGACGGGGCAACAAACGCCTCTGACTTGCGGAAATAGGGAGCGAGAGCATCCCAAGACCATGCTATATTGCCCAGGTCACCCCAGTTGTCGACATCTCGCCGGGAAGGGTGGGTCCAGAACATGAAGTTCATTGCGCTGGAGCCCCCGAGCTGCTTGCCGCGGATGTGGGCGACGACCTTGTTGTTGGCAGCCGTCTGAAAGCGTAAGCAAGCTGTATTTCGTGCTCTCGGCTGTAGTGGTTGGTACCTGAGGAACAGTCTTGTAATCCCAATCATAGTCCGGGTTGCCGTACATAGCTAGGAACAGACCCGGAGCCAGCACATTCAAGTCCTCGGAGCGATCGGCGCCGGCTTCCAACACAAGAACCGTCACTTGAGGGTCCTCGGTGAGGCGAGCTGCGACAGTGAGGCCGGCAGTACCACCGCCGACGATACTAGAGAGTGTTAGCAATTTCGTAACGTTTCTGAGGCATCTTACTTACATATAGTCATATGATTCGGCCATGACGCTTGCAATGCTCAGTAGCATGACTGACCATGGATAAGGTCTCCAAAGCATGCTTAGGGCACGCTATCTGAGTTTGGTTCGAAGGGACAGTCAGCGGTACAAGGTAACTTCAAGAAAAGAATTCATGTATCGCTAGGATGCATGTCAAACCTCATTTATAGTTAAAGTACGGATACGCCGAGAACAGATCCAGAAGGGCCGGACTACGGCTGTAGAGCCCAAATTGACATAATGAACCCCGCTCCATGTCGTACAGCCGCCTCGACAGGACCAAGGAGACGCCTGACCATCAATATTTCAATATCTGGCGCCACTTGTCACGTACGCTAGACTAATACAGAGCCCCCCCCCGACAACCCATGGGTCTCTGGAGACTGGAATAGGCTAGGCCATGTGGTGAAGGGACCGGCTACGACGTTGTCCACTAATCCATCACGCACGCTGAGTAAGCCATGTCTTGCGGAGTTCCGCTTGCGAAGTACTGTAAGGAAGTATGCAATGACACTTGACAGGTCGGAATGGTATCAAGGGCGGGCTTGCATAGGTCTTGATGGGTAATCTTGGTATGCCTTCACTGGATCGTTTTACTGAGGCAGCGAGAAGTTCAGTGGGGGGATGATTGAGACCGGCTTGAGGTGGCAAAGGGTGAATAGATAGAAGCAAAGGGGGAGCAGCAAGCACGTCGCCCGGAAGTTTCCAGCAAGTTTCTGGTCCAATCGTATCGTTTTGGAGCCATGGTTTAGCGCGCTGCATGGTCTCTGTGGAAAGAGTCGACAGTTCACTGGCAGAACATACCCGTTCCCAGCGTTCAAAGCTTGGCGTTCTTGTCGATCTAGAAACGTGCGTAAACCCTCACAGACGAGCCGGGACGCTGACCATGGCGCACTGTCTGTTCTCCACTTGATCCTCATCCGTCTTTAGGATTGAAAATGGAACAAGAGAGGAACGGACTTCTGCGGCCGCAACACCCAAGGTACACTCTTGAAGAGGCAAAACTTTTTTCATGCAGTCGTGATATGCCCACCAGCCTATTATACAGATATCCATTAGATGCCGGTAACGAAGCATCTCGCCATTCTCGCAACGGCCTACTAGTCTCCTACATGATGATGTACAGGGTATTTCGAATGTCCCTCTAGCTTATTACTGACGCTTGGAGTACTCGGAGCCGGGGCCGTACATAATTATGGGCCTCCGCTGGGCCCTGCGGTATGCCTCGTTGGCAATGGGAGAGGCGTCGGATCGAATGACACTGCCGATAGACATGAAGAAACTGGACGAGGCGTTAGCTACGACAGCGTACGCTCCGGGCAAAGGTAACCTACCCGAAAGTAGCTCCAGACCCGAGCATGTATTGGCCGAGAGTTCTCATGATGCCGTTGGGGCCGGCACCGTAGCGCATGATGTTGACCGAGCCTAGAGAGGGGTGAAGTGTCAGTCTAGTCGGTCGAACGAAGAGAGGAAGCGGCGCGTACCGAAGACAAAGCCCATGACAGCACCGACAGCTACGGATTGTCAGTTATTTCCTCGCATAAATGGCCGAGATAGTTATGAAACGCACTGCCACCCATCATGGCACCCATCTTGACTGCAAAGGATTAGCTACAGCTTCGAGCAATGGTTTGAGAGACTTGGGCGTACGCTTGTCTGCGACAGACTGGCCCATAGCACCGCCGTGTTGCGCAGGAACAGGAGGCATGTTGAAAGAGAGAGAGTGTGTGTGTGTGTTGCGCTGCGCTTCGTTCGACCGAGTGTCAAGTCGTAGGTGCTGTCGGGCTGTTGCTGATGCTCAAGCTGTCACGAACTGTTCGTTCACGATGTTTGCGACGGTGGGCTGAAGGAGCTCTTCCAATTTGCTCCGGCCGGTGGGCGCCGCCACTGGAGCTTCCATTGGATCAATCCAATCCGGGGTACTCGGCAGTTCTTCGGCAAATCACCCTAATCGGTCTCGCTTTCTGCGTGTTGGAATGAAAGTGGGTCATATGGTACCGAGGGTCATCCGATGCACCGACCACCCACCTGAGCACAGGATGCTGTACAGTGTTCAACATATCAACACTGTATGAATGACATCAGTCCTGCTAGGGAGGGCTTGCGCCGAAAATATGGTCACGTGGTCTTCGCTGTCCAGCGGAGCGCCAGCGCAGCGCAGTGCAAATGGGGGATCCCATCCCCGTCTTGGTGGATCCCACAAGCCAAACCACACAGTGGCAGACAGACCGCCTTGGGCTGGGGACCAGCACCAGTTTCCCTCTCTTTTTCTCCGACGCTGCTACCCTTTTCTCTCCTGATCCCGTTCATATGAAGATCGAGCCGCTCTTCTCTCGCGCATGGTGTTGGAAACAGTGACAGCCTCGGGGCCTGTGCTTTTATCTGAACCGAACACCCCCTTACCCAGCCGACCGTTGAATTCCCCCTCCCTTGTGTTCGTTCCACCCTCCCCTGTCGGCTCCAGCGCGTGTTTCCGAGCGCTGTTTGGTCCGTCACTGTCTCCAACACTGATGTTCACTGGTTGCTCCAAAGTCCCCAAGGCCACACACGCAATAACGCTAAGCGCTTAGCGAGACGGGGCGAGACCTTCTGTTCTTCTCCCCAAATCCTACGGAGTACAGTGGGTAGATTCAACCTCGACTTACCAGGCCAACTAAGCACCCCGAACCCACCCCCCCCCCCCCCTCGACGTGTGCTTCAGCTATCGTCGAAAGAGGTGTCCAGAGAAAACACTTCCTTCTTCTTTTGCCCGCTCCCTTTCAATTGCAGGTATGTCTCACGTCTTGTCTAATCCTCCCTCCCTGCCTGATCCGGATCGGTCTTCTTCGCTGTGGCCTTCCCGCCGCCGTCCCCTGTGTGCCGGGCCGCTTTGGGTCACGCCAATTGGCTGTCCACCCCTATCCTTGCTGCGACATCATCGTTGACATATTTTTTCCAACCTGCCAGCGAAGCCTCATCTCTTCTCAACCACTACGCTGCTTCCTTCGATACCTGGTCCCTTAGCGATAAACTTCGCCCGACACCTATCCCTTCGATATCCTCTGGGTTGCTCGTGCGAATGTTGAAGGAAGGAGGCCTCGACATCCCCTAGTCAACCCCTCCCCCCTCTACAACATCGATAACCTGCGACCGGCATCATTGCCTGTGCCTTGAACCGCGTCGACTCCTTCCGTCACACGATCCTTACCCAGCCACGGCCGAGACTCCCTCATGACTGCCGTAGCGAGCCCTCCTAGCTTCCAGCAACTCAATCGACCGGGATGGAATGTTAATGGCGGACAAAGTCTGAATTCAATGAATCCAGAAGACGTCAGAGGCATGTTCGTGCCGCGGAAGACGTTGCAGAGAAGCAACTCATCCTCGTCTGTCGCCTCCACGTCGTCGAACTCATCAACCACCACGGTCGCCACGAACGCCTCGCAACCAAATGGCACCCCGGCGTCTACGAACTCCGACATGAGTTCGTGGTCCAGCACCGCATCGCGGAAACGCCCGCAGCCCAAAAACGGCCCTTGGCCGCCGAGCAAGCCAGAAGGCCAGGCCGAGTTCGGCAGGCCGGTCATGCGTTCGCCAATGAACGGAATCAACGGCAATTCATCGTTGCAGGCTCTACCAGGGCAGCCACAAATGATGTCGCAACAAGGGCTTGCCGCAAGACCTGCTGGCGATCCCATGCCCAGCGGCCAGCCCGTTCTCTATCTCCTGTCGCTCAACGGCACATTCGAGCGCAAGACCATATCGGTGCCATTCTACCCGGAAAGCCTTCGTATTGGCCGACAGACGAACCAGAAAACGATCCCAACAGCCACAAACGGCTACTTCGATAGCAAAGTCCTATCCAGGCAGCACGCTGAAATTTGGGCAGATCGCATGGGCAAGATTTACATTCGCGATGTCAAGTCATCCAACGGAACCTTCGTCAACGGGACGCGTCTTTCGCAAGAGAACCGTGAATCCGAACCACACGAATTACAGACAGGAGATCATCTAGAGCTGGGAATCGATATCGTGAGCGAGGATCAAAAGACCGTCGTTCACCACAAGGTTGCCGCCAAAGTCGAGCATGCTGGCTTCATGACACCCTCCAGCAACGTTATGGATATGAGCTTTGGCGACTTGGATCCGGCTAACGGTGGCATGATGATGCCTTCACCGGGACCAATGCCGTATCGCGGTCGCACGGGAAGCAACGCGTCAATGGCCAGCAACGGCCGTATGATGGCTCCCCAGAACATGGCCGGCATGCCCCCAAGTGGCGGAGTTGCTCGTGGATTCTTACTGACGCCCATTACCACGGAGCACATCGTAAAACGCTTACATGTAAGTACCCAATATTTCCGAGTCCCTCCCTCCTAGCACTAACATTCTGTGTAGAACGAGATGCGAAGTGCGCGACTACAGTCTCAAGACTTGTCAAGGACGGGCCACTTCATTCATGCTTTGCTGAGCAAGGAAGATGTCAAGGATCTCGAGAAACCCGAGGCACCAGAAGCCCCCAAGCAGCTCCCTAACGGCAACGCCTTGCCATTCCGTAACGATGCAAAGACGAGATTCTCCGACCCGCCTGCTCCTCCGCCTCAACAGCCCCTTCCGGAGAAACCTGATGTGCCTTCCCTCAAACGAGGTACCACTGAGCGACCCAAGACGAACAGCACTCCGTCGCCCGTGGGACGCGACAATCTGCACCAGATCATCCAGCTAACCGAGGCTCTGAACAATGCTAAGAAGGAGATGGATACCCAGACTGCCCGGATTAAGGATCTGGAGGACATGTTGCGCAGAGAACGCGAAGCACGCGAGCTTGCCGAAGATATGGCAAAGATACTCGAGGACAGTGCTCCTAAGGAACTGAACGGCGGGCCCAAAGAACACGACACCGAGACTATACTTGAAGAAGCTTTTGAGCCTCCCCGTGAGGCTTTAGAGGCCCATGACATCGAAATGACAGATGCCGAACCACTTGTCAAGGAGCCGGCACCGGAGAGCGCTGAAGAGATTGCTGCTCGTTTCCAAGTCAAGATCGATACCATGATGACCGAGATGAGCGATCTCAAGCAGCAGATGGAAGCTTGGAGGCAAAGATGTGAGAAGGCTGAGATGGAACGCGATGTCGACCGCAAGACCTTGTCAGAGATGGTTGCAAAGATCCGAAGAGACGAAGAAGCTAGGCAGTCAGCAGCTGCGGCAGAGAAAATTCGGTCTCCATCCCGTGGGCGGCGCGGTCGCAGTGAAAGAGCCACCGAGAAGACTACTACCGTGGTCCAGACAGACGTATCTAACGAGTCGACGCCCGCGCCAAGCCAGACAGAGTCCCCCTTGGACGATCCCAGCGACAAGCCTACGCTATCGCGGGCTAACACTATCACGCCACTTACCATACCACCGGGCAAGCTGGCGAAAGATCAGGCTATGATGGCCGGCGTCCCCTACGCCTCTATGCTGGGTGTGGTGATCATAGGAATGGGCCTCATGGCCTACATCAACGGCTGGCAACCCGAACCAACTTCCCGTCACTGAAGTCAGTCGTTGATAATCTACTTCGATTCTCTAGACACGCACTTTTCTCGCTGGCATTGCACATACCTACGGCGTTTCCTGCATTGAAAGCGGTCAATCGTTTCACACCGACTTCCGTCCCGTCGTTTTTTTTCTAGTTCCCTATGTACCTATTACTTTTTATTTTTTTTTCTTTTCTGTATGAATTGCGAGAACGACGATTGTTTCATTCCTGATGTCTCTATCCCTCACGAGCAATAGAGACAAACACGGTAGGGAAGGCGTTTTGCTTCCTCTTTTTCTTCTTCCTTTTTTTTCCTTCGGAATTCGAATCCCTTCGAGGTCTTGATCGCGCTGCAGCACGGTGTTTTCTTTGTGAACTTTTGGGCAAACCAGGAACGGGAAACGGAATGATGGACGACGACTTTTTCTTTATACTTGGCACAAAAAATCCAACCCGAGATGACACCGATTTTCTTTTCCTGCTGCAGAAGCATGTGTTTGCAACCGCCTGTCAGTTTTACTAGCCCGAAGGGACGGGACATTGCGGTCACATGCCCTTGCATACATGCCTGTAGGCTCCCAGGCCCCCTTGGCTTTCAATATGCATGAATACAAGGATGGAGCGGCTGTAGATTACTGGTGGGACAAGGGGAGGATGACGAGATTAATGTTTGCATAGGTTGGGTGGGAATATAAAGACCCCTTAATCTTTGACGTGTTTACCCATTGCGATTTGACGCTCACAAAGCACGGTCTCGAGATACTACGTCATGGTAAAAGTTATGACTTGTCTACGGTCAAGGAAACCGGGAAAACATCAGATGACTAGCAAATAAGCGCTCGACTTGCTTGGCATCCATCAAATGAAGGGTCCTGGATGGGATCCGGAACAGCGCACAAGAGACCAGGGTCGCCTGGCACCTCGAGGATATTTAAAGTGCACGATGAAGACTAATTCGGCCCAGGCCCTGGTTCCGTGCCGGCTTAGTGCAATCCTAACTGGTCGAGCCTCATCAACACGATATTCCGACTGTGGTACCGCATGTAGCGCCAGCCCGGAAACCGTTCGAGAGGTAAAGCCTTATCTCGATTGAGATTCTTGTTCTCTTTTTACTAAGGCGGGTCTCTCTTTGGGATATCAATGTCACTGTGGTGCTCCATCGCTCTCGTCCTCCTGGACACGGCTTCTTGCGAAGATTGTGGGTCCATGTCCGCCGTTGGGGGTGTCAACTTTGTCAAAGTATGTGTTCGAACCTGTGGTACTTGCCAGAACTAAAGGAGAGCCTTAATGATGAAAATCCTCCTCAGAAGGGCGAGGACGCTTTGAGCTGAAACGAGTTATCATAGATACATAATATGAGTGACATAACTTTCTGGTGCATCGAGTAGTCACAACTACCAGCACATAGCTTTATAAACTAGTCCTTTACATTCGGCTATGATGAACATCGCGGCGGATAACATAGTAGATATTTTGGACTTGGTACGGTCTGAGGTCTGAATAGTTTAAAGGTCAGTACGATTCTCGTCCACGTTGTGTTTTTATTTTACGACCGTGTTCTAGGACGTTGCTCTCCTATATCGGCGCTTTGAGAGATGGTGAGAGGCAGAAAACGAGGCTGCCGCGTATGCATCCTCGCAATCCAGCACTGGAATCTTTGTTTCTGAGTTTTTGGGCAGGCTTGCTAGCATTGTGAGCCACTGACGCGGAATCTTGCTACTACTTAGATGAAGCATTCCAATCTCGCCGCTTCTCCTTTCGGTTGTCTTCCCCCCTGACAACGCATGTGTCGGCCAAACAATCAACAAGAGTAGCCTTTGGTTTAATAGCAAATACTGGAGCTTCGATCTCCTGTGATGTGCAGCTTTGCCGAACGCCAACGACGAGTTCAATTCGTTAGCCAGATACGATCAAAGGCCGCCTCCTCGTGCACTTCGTCCTGGACCTGCTCTGGCACCGGTTCAAAGAAGACTCATCTATAAACAACCTACATCTCCGATGGTCAGCATGAACTTTGCGGATCACTTCGGTAAGCGCCAAAAGAAGTCTCCTGCACCTGCAGCTGCTCACTCCCTGTTAGACGGGTGCTCCTTCATCTATGAAGATGACCGCACAGCCATCGCAAATGAGCATGCGATGGACAAGAAAAGCCATCCGACCCGCGAACGGCCCAGAGACCGCGGAACGCCAGCCCTGGATCAGCACGAGAACATCCGCGCGTGGCTGTCCGGGGTCGTCGTCGACGACGAGAACAAGCCCCTCGTCACGGACGTGCTCTCCGCCCTTGGCAACCTACCGAGCGCGGACCCCGCGCACCCGCAGGGCGGGGATAGCCCGCCGAGGAACCAGCCGCAGCAGGGGCAGGCAAACGTGAAGGTGCACACGATGGGCCCGGGGTTCTTCGGGAGGGCGCCGCCGTTCGGGTCGTCCGAGTTCCTCGCCAACATGGTCCTGGTGGCGATCCTCCTGTTGTTCGCGCCGGGCTTCACCATCTTGGCGGCGGGCGTGTTTGTGACTTCGCGCGTCGCCGAGCGGTGGGTTGGGCAGGACCAATGAGTGCGGCAAATGCGTGTTGACGTGAGGAATGTGTTCGGGACGAATTTGGACGGCTTTATGAAACTTACGTGGTCAATGTGGAGGGGGCACGCATGCAAGACTTAACATGTCTGAGCATCACGAGGAATGCATTATTTGGGAATGAAATGAAATATCAATAACCACGAATTATGCAATGGAAGTTACAAGGCTCTCACAATGGATTGTATTCAAGGGTTGGCTGCTCGTTTAATTTCCGGGTATTGACAAAATACGGGTAGACAGTTCGGGGGGGGGGTATTCCAAGTTCGGGGGGGGGGTATCCGGCCAGTGGGGCAAAAGTTTGGGGGGGGGTAAAAGGGTTATATATGCACTAGCCGTTACATAACTTTGCGCAGTACAGTACAGTACTATAAGTCATTTTTTAGTATGTATAAGTTATATATAGGACACTACTTGCTTAGTATATATATAGTATATACGCTAGATATATAAAAAGAGGTAAATATAAAGGTAGTTAAAAAGGTAGTTAAAGGGGTAGTTAAAGAGGTAGTTAAAGAGGTAGTATAGATAAAATAGCTAATAAATTAACTAGATAGGAAAGTAAGTATATAAGGATAAACAGATTTTAGTATATACTTAGCCTTAGTAAACTATATACTAGGCTTATACTTAATTTCTCTTTTATTTTTATAGATATACCTAATAATTCTAATAGTAACTCTAGTCTTTATACCTATACGTTACTTATTTAGTCTTTAACCTTATCTAATAATAAGGACTAAATAAATAATATAGGGTATAATAGTGTTAATAAAGATAATACTAAGGGGAGTAAAAAACACTTAGCTAGTGCTTAGTATATACTAAGTAGATAGCTAAATAATATAAGTTATTTTAACTTTATAGATCTTTATTACTAAGTAGAATAAGATACTTACTAGCTTAATAAATACTATTAAGGTTAAAAAAGAGCTAATACCCTAAATCTACTATTTAAGATAGGCTAGACTTAGGTATTCTCTTAATATATACCTTATATATACTAGCTATATACTTAGTATATACTTATTATTCTTTAGGAATCTCTTTAGTAGTTTAGTATCTTTCTTAATTATAAAGGTAAAAAGAAAATAATAGTAATATCTATTAAAGACTATCTTACTTCCCCTCTTTATTTAGTAACCTTACCTTTTAGTATTTTTTACTATATTATATTATATTAACACACTTAAGATACCTTAAAGGCTAGTGCCTAGTAGCTTATTTAATAGCTTTTAGATACTATTTAGTACTTAACTAAGTATAAGAAGTATATATCTAAGTAGTTATACTTAGTACTAAGGTAACGTATTCTTAGTATATCTTATACTAGTAGTAAGTATATACTAATAATATATTAAGAATAACCTAAAGAATAATAAAGTCTAGTACTAATCCCTTTAATATAGTAGTATAAAGCACTATAAATTTACTTATAAGTCCCTTTTAAGGCCTAATAAGTATTTTAATAAGGGGAAAGTTATTTAAATACACTAGGCTATAAGGGAAAAAGCAAAAAGAATAGTAATTACCTTAATAATTACTAAGGATATCTAGCACTAGACTAAAGCGTATATTACTAATATATCTAGTATATACTTTATATATACTTACTATAGATTATACTAACTCTTACTAAATTCTTTAAGTTAATTAAGAAGCGTTAAAAGCCTAATAAGCTATACTAGTAGCTAGGTTAAGGTAGTAACCCTAATACTAATACCTATAGTAGACAGCCTTTCTAGGTGTTTACCTAGAATAAGGTAAGTATAAGCCTAGTATATACTATACTATAGTAAGATATATTTTAATATTTATAAGTAATATTTATTAGGTGCCTATAATTAAGTAATACTAAGACTTAGTATACTACCTTTTTAATTCCTTAGTACTAAAGTTAAATTAATCTTAGGTATTTATAGTAGCTTTACTTTATAGGCTAGTTATATAGCTAGAGTAATAAATACGTCTAGGTTAGGAAGATATCTAGTATAAAAAAGATATATAGTAAGTATATACTTAGTATATCCCCTATATATTTATAGTATAAGCTAAATTTCTAGGCTTCTAATATCTAGCGTTTATTAGCAGTAGATCTATCTAAAAGTATATATATAGTGTTAAAATAAATATTTATATCCCTATTAACTAAGTACGCTTCTTATTTATTCTCTTTTTTTATAGAGGCTTATATACCTATATCCTACCTTTACTAATAACTTTTTTTTCTTAGTTATTATAATAACTTATACTTAGCCTTTTAAAAAAGCTAGATATTATAATATTAACTATATATAAGCTTTATATCTACTAAATATTTATTTAGTATATACTAAGTATATATAGGGATACTACTTATAAATCTAGGGATTTATAAGGTATACTATAGGTTTAGGATAAGTACACTTTAGGCTATTTATACTGCTCTATAAAATAAGAATATTATTAGTGTCTTTATTTATAAAGCCTATCTTCTTAAGTTTCTAGCTAGTTCTAGCTATATAAGTAAGTAATATATAATAAGTATATACCTTATATATATTAGGTATATACTAAATATATACTAAGCGTTATCTAGGAATTTACCTTTAATAAGATAAGGTTAAAAGAGGACTAATAGATTTATAGTATTATTAAAACAGCAGATAATAGATTTATTATTATCTATATTAAATCTACCTAAGCTAAGGCCTTTCTAAAGGCCTAGTTCCTTAAGGTAGATATAGCCTTTAAGATAGTTAAGGGAGAAATTAATACCTTTAAGATTTATAGTTAGAATATAGAAACTTAAAGTATATTAAGTATATACCTAGTATATACTAAGGATATTTACTAACTATACCTAGAAATTAACTCCTATATCTATATATAGACTAATACCTATTTAAGAGATAGGTATAAGTAGCTTTTTAAAGAATACTTTAGCTGCCTTTATAAGGTAGTTAGTTCCTAAAGGGATTAGTATTATATTAATTTAACTAAGAACTTCCTTATTTATACTATTATAATAAATATAGATAAGAAATAAGCTAGAGATATACTTACTATATTTTAGGTATATACTTTATATATACTAACTATATACTAGGCCTAGGTAACTACCTTACTAAAATTAACCCTTTAAGAAGCTAAAAGGAGCACCTTTACTATATCCTTATATTCTATAAGGTTTATATATACTATAACTAGTAAAAGAAGTTCCCTAACTATATAGCTAAGTATAAGCTTTAGAGACTATAGGAATTAACTTTATTCTTAGTATATATAGAGTATATTAAAGGTATAACCTCTTAATATCTTAAGACTAAGTTATAGTTTAAAGGTAAAAAAGTAAAGTAAATTATATATAGGCTTACACTTAAAATAAGTAATATTAACCTAAAGGTAAAGGTTCTTACTAAGAAGTATAATAATATTATTAAGTCTAGTTATAGCTAGGATAACTTAGTAGTTAGGAGATAGTTATAACTTTTAGCTACTATACTATAGTTAGGTATACCCTTTATATATCCTTAGTATATCCCTAGTATATACTAACTATACTTTAGGCTTAAGTAATATGTTTTCTAAGAAGTAGTAAAGGTATAAGTAGAAATTTATACTAGTATTTAATCCTTATAGAGAAATAAAAGCTAAACTGCTTACTATACTAAAGCTTTTAGGAAAATATAGAAAAAGTAAGCTATATAAGTAAAGTAATACTAAAATAACCTTACTTTTCCTTTTAATCTATATAACTTATTTAATATACTATTACTAAGTGTTAAAGATAGTAGTGTTATAAATAAAAAGGATAGTGTTTTAGAAAAAAATAAGACTATACTTAGTATATCTAGAGCTAGCTTTAAGTATATACTAAGTATACCCTATATATTAACCTTACTTATATATAGCTTATTTTTTATATTATTACTACTACTACTAGTATTATTTTTACTTATATCTTATTCTTATTTATAAAAGTAAACCTTATATACTTAATTAATAAGCTAGTAAGAGGTTTCTACCTTTATATAAAGGTTATAAGTTTATTCTTAGTAGTAGTATATTTATTCTAAAAAAGAATAAGATAAAGTTTAGATTTAGAAGTTATAGTATCAAGTAAAGCGCCTAAGGCGTAAGAAGTAAATCTAGGATTTAGAAGCAGAAGTAGTATAGCTTAAGTAAGACTTAAAGAGAGGTTAAATTTAGTATATTACTAGTATATATATAGTATATACTTAATACTATTTTAATTATTATTAACTAACTTATAGTACTAACTTAGTATATACTAAAATATAACTTAAGTTATTTTAAACTTTAATTTATTTTAGGTATATTATTAGGTTATACTTAGTATATACCTATAATATATATTATACCCTTTTAGCCTAGGCCTAAAAGGTTTTTAGTATATACTTAGACACTACTCTCCTTTTTATCCTGCTTAAAAAAATAGCCTCTTATAGACCTTAGGATCCTATTAAACGTTAGCTATATATATACTAAGGGTGTGTCTAGGGGATACTATATATAGGTCTTATAGGTAGTAAGGGTAGCTAGGGCCTTACTTTTCTTTTTAGGAGCTAGATAGATTAGTGTTATATATATACTAAGGATACACTTTATATATACTAGCCTACTTCTTAGGGGGGGGGCAGGGAGCTAGGGTAAGTAACTTAAGGCTTTTCTTATAAGGATAGCTAGGGTGCTATAAGATTAATTATTAGTATATATAAAGTATATACTAAGAAGATATATAACTTATATTCTTATACTTATATAAAGAGACTAAAGTTATAGTATTATCTTACTTAATTATTAGTATATATAGTTATAATATATATTAAGTATATATTTACTTTATCTTTTATATTTACTTAGTTAGGATTAGTTTAGATTTAGTATAAAGTTATTATAAAGTCTATAATATAAGATATTATTTTAGTATACTTTTAGTATATATATAGCTTACGCCTTACTTATTAAAAGTAAATACTAATATATCTTTTAATATATTTCTTATAATAACCTTATACTAAAGCTTAGTAGCACTATATAGTAGCTAAAGTGTATTAGTAATATAAAAGATAAATAGTAAAATAAATAGTAAAATAAATAGTATCCTTTAGGGTAATACTAAGTATATACTTAAAGTATATATATATAAGTTAATAAAATTAAGTTCTATAAGTAGCTATAAAGGTAGTATTATTATAACTATAATCTAGTGTTAGCTTAGTATATATATAGTATATACTAAGAGAGACTTATACTAATTTCTTTATACTATTATAATAGATATAGAGAAGACTACTATTAGGTCTAATACTATTTATATATTAGCTATATATATACTAAGATAGTGCTAAGGATATACCTAGGCTTATAAATATAGTTTATATTACGCTACTAACTAGAGTAAATAAAGTTCTAGATAGCCTTAGTATGTTATTAGTATATACTCTCCTAATACTATAACTAGCTATTATATATACCTAGTATATATAGTTTACTAACTGCTTTCTTAGTAATAGTAGTGTTAGTATAGGGGTAATTCTTAACTAGTGTATTATTAGTATATACTTAGTATATACTATATATATATATATACTAGCGCCTAGGTAGGTAGTATATATATAGTAGTAAAGCTAGGTACTATATTAGCTTATTCTAAGTATATACTTAGGACATACTTATAGCTAGCTAAAAGGTATAAATAGTACTATATATAATATTAGTATTAGGATTAATAACTATATTATAACTAGAATTAAGGTTAGTATATACCTAATCTATACTTTATATATATTAACTTATACTTTAGTATTAATAGTAAAAAGCTTACTTCTTATATTTAAAGCGCCTAGGCATATAGTTAGTATATACTAGTAGTATTTTTAGTTTATATTAAGTTAATATATAAGCGTTTATCTTTATAGTAATAGTGTTTATTAGGAATAAGATTAGTATATACTTAATATATACTTATATTAATCTAAAAACTTATATATATAGCTAGTGTTATAAGCTTCCTAAACCTCTATATAATTTAAGTTAGCGTTCTATATATACACTATATTAGTAAGGATATAGGCTATACTAGCTAGAATATAGTTAAGGTTTAGGTTTAAAATAAAGCCTATATTAAATTAGTATATATTATATTACTACTTAATAAGGATTATATATATACTTACTATAGTAGTATCTATAAGTAAAAAGGTTATATATATTAGTAATACTTAGGTTTATATAGTTAGTAGATATTTAAAATATTATTAGTATATACTTTAAATATAGTAAGAATATATTAAGAATTAATTATAGAAATACCTTAGTACTACTATAGTAGTAATTATAGATTTATAGTGTTTTTTAAAAAAAAAGAATTAAAGTAAGAAATTTTTTTAGTAAGAGTTTAGTATATCCTAAGTGTAAGCTAGTGCTAGGCCTAAGGTAGAGACAGTAAGTAAAGTCACGTGATCTTAGTTATAGATTTTTTACTGTGCGCTTATAGGCAAAAAGCCCTGATATTCGCATGTATCACTTTTATATAATTAGTCAGCCCCACCTCTTTTACCCCCCCCCCAACTTTTGCCCCACTGGCCGGATACCCCCCCCGAACTTTGAATACCCCCCCATGATCAGGATCCCCACAAAATACATGGCTGGGCATTGCGCCTCTGGCCCTCCGTGCGACTTTAATCACGGCCCCCGCGCAAATGTCACGCGAAACCTGCCTTTGAATTTTTCACTATTGGGCCGAGAAGACCCAGCTAGACGAGAGCGCCGTTCAGCCCCCGAGTCTCCAGTGTGCTGCGCCCGTCTCTGGATGTCTAACGTCGAGTTGTTGGTTGCCAATATGTTGCCATGCCACCCCTTGGTTGTATACAAACAACTCTCGCACTAGTCGGTAACAAGGTCCGCAACTACTGGCATCGTGGCGAACGATCGGTAAAGTGCATCTTTCGGAACCTTAGGCCCCCGGAGCCAATTTCAACAGCCATGCTCGACGTGGTTTCTACGCAAACTATGAGCGCTGCCTTTCGGGTTCGCGACATTAGGGGGGCGTGATTTGTGGAGGGGGTCCACCCGATTCCGCAAATCGTCCTTCGGTCACCCGCGGCCATCCGGTCGACATGGGCCTTGACCTGGATGCGGCCTGTCTTCGAGTTGTTTCGAGAGGCTCGCAAGCAAGCAACCCAGAAAGATACGCTGCGGAATTGGCAGCGTTCTCTGTGATTAGGGCGTGCAATTGTGGCCTCGGACGGCATACCGCGGGTTACCGACCCGGGCAGTGTAAGATCTCGCAAGGCACGCTTCATAACCCATGCGCCATGGCTCTGGTCAACTACTTGAAAATCAGACAAGTCAGTCAAATACAGAAAGTAATCGTTCAAATACCGGTGCATTGCAATTTTCAGAGCCGTTACCACACTACACTCTCTACTCTCATTAAGAACCCGGGAACACGAACTCGTCCACTAGAATCAGAGCAATGTCGCCAGACGAACAGAACTACTACATTCCGGATCCGATTGAAGATAGTTTCGAGGACGACCTTTCAACATCAACGGCGGCCGAGAGCATGCACCGGGAGATCGAACACCTGGCCCGCCGAATTACCAATGCCTCCCAACATCATGCGGCCAATGCTCACGTTGATGTCCTGAACCCTCCCAAAAATAGTTACTTGGATCCTACTTCCTCAAATTTCGACCCAACAGCATGGACGAAAGCATTCATCAAAGTCTTCGAGTCAGATCCCATGTCGGCACCCAACCGACTGGCTGGCGTCGCGTTTCGCAACCTCAATGTCTTCGGCTACAGCTCTGGGACGCAGTACCAAAAAAGCGCGGGTAATCTCCTGCTAAGCATGGCGGCTGATATCGTCGGACTCACGACGGGGAGGTCAAAAGGACGCATTGATATCCTAAGGGATTTTGCGGGCCTTGTCGAACCCGGCGAAATGCTCCTTGTGCTGGGCCCTCCCGGATCAGGCTGCTCAACCCTTCTTAAGACGTTAGCCGGCCAAACAGAGGGACTGAATGTTGCCCAAGAATCGTACATGAACTTTCGAGGTTGGCAAATGTTCCATACATAATGTCCTTTGATCTAACAGTGAGTAGGAATCGAACCGAAGCGCATGCATGGTTGGTTCCGAGGCGATGTCCTTTACAATGCCGAAGTGGACGTCCACCTTGCCCCCCTATCAGTTGGGGACACGCTGGAGTTCGCGTCGCGGGCCAGAGTCCCAGAATGGGTCCCTGGCGGGATGACGAGTAACGAATATGCCCGTGTCATGCGTGACGTGATGATGGCAGCGTTTGGCATCTCCCATACCGTGAACTCCAAAGTTGGCGATGATTATGTGCGCGGCGTGTCTGGCGGCGAACGGAAGCGGGTCAGTATCGTCGAGGCTGCTCTGACCGGGGCCAAATTCCAATGCTGGGACAACAGCACGCGAGGTCTCGACAGCGGAAACGCTATTGCCTTTTGCCAAAACCTTCGCACACAATCAGACTTGCTGGGCGTTGCAGCTGTTGTGGCCATCTACCAGGCGCCACAGTCTGCATACGATGTAAGTGGCAGTTGACTTGGCGCAGGAGGTCCGACTGCATATGATGAATTGTGGCTGATGGAAGATAGCTGTTCGACAAAGTGACGGTAGTCTATGAGGGAAGACAGATCTTCTTCGGCAGAGTTGACCAAGCGAAGAAGTACTTCGAAGACTTGGGCTTTCAGTGTGAGTCTAACAGGAGCATCATACCCTCAGTATTCAGACTCTGACCCTGACCCATCTTAGGTCCCGAGCGACAAACCACGCCCGACTTCCTCACATCCATGACATCTCCGAACGAACGACGAATTAAGCCTGGCTGCGAGCATACTGCACCACGAACCCCGGACGAGTTTGCAGCGAGGTGGAAGCAGTCACAAGACCATGCGGCTCTCGTAGCAAGCATCGAAGGGTACGAATTTGAGCACCCAGCACAAGATCGCCTTGAGTCTTTCCAGCAAAGTATCAAGGCGGAGAGAAGTTCATGGTCAAGGCTGAAGTCCCCGTACATGATCGCCTACCCACGCCAAGTCAAACTCTGCCTCTGGCGTGGCTGGAAGCGTTTGGTAGCCGATCCCGAGTTTACAATCTCCTCGCTCGTGTACAACATTCTTGTGGGGTTCCTCCTGGGAAGCATGTTCTTCAAACTCCAGGCCGACACTGCCACGTTTTATTACCGTGCCGGTTTGATTTTCTTCGCCTTATTGTTCAACGCCTTCGCTAGTGAGATGGAGGTCAGTTTCCTTCTACTTTCGTACTTGGTTACCGTTTTTGCATGTCAGCTGACTGAAATTTAGGTCCTCACACTTTATAGCCAGAGGCCTGTCATCGAGAAGCATAATCGGTATGCGCTCTACCACCAGTCCGCTGAGGCCATCTCGAGTTTCATCACCGAGTTGCCATACAAGATTACCAATGTCTTCACTTTTAACTCCATTTTCTACTTCATGGCAAATTTGAATCCCGGTGCCGATCACTTCTTATTCTTTTGCCTAGTGTCATTCGTGGTCCTGCTGGCGATGTCTGGCATCTACCGAACCATGGCATCACTTGCCCGTACTTCACATCAGGCCATGGTACCCGTCACTCTAGTTACTCTGGGTGTCATGATGTACGCAGGCTTCACCGTCCCGACAAGCTACATGCAGGGATGGTCTCGGTGGATGGGGTACATAAATCCTCTCTCCTACGCCTTTGAAGCACTGATGGCAAATGAGTTTCATGGCCGTCAGTTTCAGTGTGCTTCTGGCTACGCTGGCATGGTGCCTTCAGGAGCTGGTTACGATGACCTCCCTTTGGCAAGCCGAACCTGTGGTGTGGTGGGAGCTATACCAGGATCTGACATGGTCGACGGCGATCGATACATCGAGCAATCCTTCGAATACTTCAACGCAAACAAATGGAGGTAAGTAGAGAACGAGTCAACCAGCTTTGCACGCAGGCCAACCTAACCAATCATAGGAATGTTGGCATTCTTTGTGCTTACGTGGTATTCTTCTTCATCACCTACATCATCACGGCAGAGTTTGCCAAGCCGCCGAAGAGCGAAGGCGAAGTTCTAGTCTTTAGACGTGGCAAGTTGCCGGCCAAACTGGGCAGTAAGATGAACCTGGACGAAGAGAGCCAGTCTCGTGAGATGTTTGTGACAGAAAAATTGCCCGTTTCGCCGGCAGAGAAGACGACAGAGACTAGACCGAGACCTAGTGCCTGCGGGAAGCCTATCTTCCATTGGGAGGACATCTGCTACGACGTCAAGATCAAGGGCCAGGAGCGCCGAATCCTGGATCATGTGGACGGTTGGGTTCAGCCGGGCGTCATCACAGCTCTTATGGTATGTTTGTCACTCGGGCCAAGTTGAATATTTCTGACAGCTGGCTACACAGGGCGCATCCGGCGCTGGAAAGACTACGCTTCTCGACGCACTGGCCAGTAGGGTTACCATGGGCGTGCTTTCCGGCGATACTATGGTCAATGGTCGGCCAACGGACAAATCCATCCCCAACCGCGTGGGCTACGTTCAGCAGCAAGATGTTCACTTGGACACGATGACGGTCCGTGAAGCCCTTGAATTCAGTGCCCTGCTCCGCCAAAGCGCAGATATTCCACGTGAAGCCAAACTGGCCTACATTGATGAAGTCATCGAGTTGCTCGACATGAGCGACTTTGTGGACGCCGTGGTTGGAGTCCCTGGCCAGGGACTCAATGTTGAACAGCGCAAGCGCTTGACTATTGGCGTCGAGCTTGCAGCCCGACCGCAGCTCCTGGTCTTCCTCGATGAACCAACATCGGGGCTCGATTCCCAGACGTCCTGGGCAATTTGCGATCTCATCGAGAAACTAGCGAGGAGCGGACAGGCTATTCTTTGCACCATTCATCAGCCGTCAGCGATGCTCTTCTCTCGATTTGACAGGCTTCTTCTGCTGCAACGTGGTGGTAAGACGGTCTATTTTGGAGGTGAGTGCTTCTCTTGCGTTACGCAAGCCGAACATAGTACTGACAGAACCAAAGATATTGGCGACAACTCAAGAACCATGATCGACTATCTTGAGCGTAATGGCGCGCCACCTTGTCCTGCTGATGCAAACCCCGCAGAGTGGATGCTTAAGGTCACCACAATGTCCGAGGATGGTCCCAGGTGGGACGATATTTGGCGTTCATCCAAAGAGTACCGTGAAGTGAAGGAGGAGCTCAAGATCCTGCGTCAACAAGACGCACGTCAGCTACCGACAGATGCGGCGGGAGACGGGATTGCTCACCAAGAATTTGCGTCGTCCTTCTGGACGCAGTTCCATCACGTCTTTGTACGCACTGCCAAACACTTTTGGAGATCGCCTGTTTACATCTGGTCCAAACTTACACTAACGTGCCTCATGGTAAGACATCTCATCCGCATTATAGCGACATTGCTAATCATGAATACACAGGCTCTTTACATTGGGTTTACCTTCAAGTCGGATAACAGCTTGCAGGGCCTGCAGAACCAGCTCTATGCCTTCTTCATGTGTCTCACTACTGTCAATGAGTTCAGCAAGCAGATAATGCCGATGCTCATTCCTCAGAGGGCGCTGTATGAGGTCCGGGAACGACCTTCGCGCGTCTATCGGTGGACCAGTGAGTTAATATGTGATCCATGACATGCAATACACTGCTAACTCTTCCAGCGTATCTGTTGTCCAACATTTTCGTCGAAATGGTATGGAACACCATTGCAGCGGTCGTCTTCTTCTTCTGCTGGTATTATCCCGCAGGGTTCTTCCGTAACACTACCGCCGACGACGTCAATATGCGCGGCTTTACCGTGTTTCTTTTCATCTGGGCGTTTTTCCTCTGGATGAGCACCTTTTCGCAGATGGCGATCGCAGCTATAGAGACAGCCGACCTCGCCAGCATCCCAGCCAGTCTCTTCGCCATCCTCTGCATGTCTTTCTGCGGTGTAAGCGTTCTCCGTAGCGACCTTCCCGCGATCTGGAGCGATTTCATGTATTGGGTCAGCCCGATGACATATCTTGCCAGCGGGACATTGTCGGCCTGCTTGCATGGGTCCAAGGTCACATGCACGGTCAAGGAACTCGTGTCCGTTCCGTTACCGGCCAACACAACGTGCGGCGAGTTCCTTGGTCCTTTCGTCCAAAGTGCAGGTGGATATCTCGTCAATTCTGCCGCAACGGACTTCTGCGCTTACTGCCGGATGAGCACCACGGATGACTACCTTGCCCATTTCGAGATCAAGTATGACGATCGATGGAGAAATTTTGGTCTTTTGTGGCTATACATTGGCTTCAACATCATCGCTGCATGTGGCTTGTACTGGCTGGTGAGAGTGCCCAAAGGCCAAGGGGTGAAGCGCAAGTAGTTGAGTAGGGATTGGAGTTATCCTAGTCTATTGTACGCGGATACTACTGTAAAAGTAAAGAGTAGGGTTTACTTGAACCAGACCTAAAAGTCGATAATCAATGTTAACACCAATCAAGATAATGAGAGACGCTTCCCATTCTCTGCTGAAAGTTTAAGATAAAGGAAACCTCCATTTTCGGCCAAGCCACTAGTAGTCTCTTTGGAAGAGCTCCGCTCATCGGATTCTCGGTGTCGGACACTGGTGGACCGCGATGGATGAAGGCTTTGCCGCTATATCGCGGGGTTCCTCATCTGCTTCCCCGCACCAACGTGGAAGGTGGATCAAACTGAAGCGCTTCATGTGGGGTTTTGTGAGGGGGTGTAACTGGGGAAATCATTTAGCCATTGAAATCTTTAATTGACCACTTCAAAAATTGGGCTTCTCCAAGACCACCACTGAATGAAAGTTCCATTTCTTCATCTAGAAGTTCGACTGTGCCAGAATCTGTACAGCATATCATCACCATGGCAAAATCGATCCTCCTCATCAATGGCCCGAACCTGAATCTCCTGGGCACCCGCGAGCCACACATCTATGGTTCGACCACGCTCGAGCAGCTCGAGGCATCTTCGAAAGAACACGCAAAGTCGCTCGGCGCAGACCTGCAGTCATTTCAGTCCAACACGGAAGGTGCCATAGTCGACCGCATTCACGCAGCGAGGGGCAATGTTGACGTGATCATCATCAACCCGGCGGCGTACACCCACACGAGCGTTGCGATCCGCGACGCACTCCTGGGGGTAGATATACCCTTCATCGAGCTGCATATCAGCAACACCCATTCAAGAGAATCGTTCCGGCATCGTAGTTACTTGAGCGACAAGGCAGTGGCAGTCATCATGGGTTTCGGAATCCACGGGTATGGGTACGCGATCGACCATGCGGCCAAGAACATTAAGCCCAAGGCCTGACACAAGAGTCCTGCGAATTAGAGGTAGAAATATAAGACCATGCTCACTCTTTTGTGAGAGGAAAAGAGAAAAGAGGCAATTTCATGCTGCTGCCGCTTGTGCGTATGTTATTGGACTTCGGGATATGCCCGAGAGGTTATTTCAACGTTACGTGACGGTCAACTGGGAATAGTGACCTTCGGCTACAGTCTTCTTCGTATATTCCCAAGGAACCTTCGTGTCACAAGAAGAGCGACGTCTGTATTTCGGTGAATACAACGTTCCTCAGCGTCAACCAAGGCTTCTGTTGTCACCGTCCACGGGTTCGTATATATCGTACACTCCTCAAGTCTTTGTTTACTTCATTATCTTGTCTGCAGGCATTAGGAACGACGACTGGACACGTATATTGATTATCTAAGTACTTATATAGGTTAGGCAGAATCTAGCACCTCAAGTAATTCAACCGATCATTTGTCTCCGTGACGGGGGCTCATGAGTGTTGCGTCATTCGGGAGGTTGTCGATAATCGCAAATTTGGTGTGCACGACTCATCCTAAGTGGGCTTCTTTTGGCCTGTAAGCAGCAGATCAATTAATACGGGAACTTTGGTTAACCGACGTGGACGTTAGTCCCGATAAGAATTAGTACTGGCAGCTGATACACTGGACGCGGGTAAAGTCGGCGTCAGCAACATCGCGAACTATATTCGTGACGTGAGACACCCATCTCCACATCGGTTTTCTTTAAGGGCCAAATCTCTAGCCTAGGAAGCCACGCCATCATTTTCAACTTTATTTCTATCATCGTCTCAATCCATGAAAAAATGGTTACTGGTTTGAGGTTTTTCAGCGGCCGCCATATCCTCGCTCTTACAGCCGCTGTGCCGTGCTGTCTATTTGCCAAACACGTATGGGATATTTACGCCCGTATTCGCCCAGTGGAAAAGCGCCGTATCGCCGTTGTAGGCGGAATCTCGAATAAATTCAAGGAGTCTCGTACTCTCAAGGGATTAGGAAATCCGAGAGACCATGTTATTGTTGGAGACGCATATCTTATGGACTTGTCCCTCCCACAAAACATTGCTGCGGAAGACGCGACAGACGAGGTATTGTTGGCAGCTTTTGTAAGGGGATATTTTGCGGGCAAAGTCTTTGCAATCGAAAGAAACTTGCTGCAAATTGCGCGAGTAAAACTTGTGTCCTATTCTGGTAAGCTGCAGGTTGATCCAGTGGTGCATGTCGAGCTTAATGGTTCGTTTTTTTGACACCTGCAAGGCCTAGCCACCACTAAGACACCAGTGTGGGAATCATCGGAGCTATTACCAACCTCTCTCCCATCGACGCACTCTATACTTTTCGGTGCATTCCAGGTCAGCCATATCGAATTGCAAGACTCTAGTGATCTTGGTCGAGTGCACGAGCAAGGGGAAAGTAGTATCGATTTTGTGTTTGGCGCCGACGATACTCGTTTTGCAGGCGCTCATAGGTTTAGCGTCGCCCGAAATCAAGAGCGCACCGGAGACGTCAGAATTCTTTATGAGCATATGGCGTGCAACCCAACCACCAACCAACCTGTCAAGCCGGATTTCTTGTTTTGCTTTCACAACTTTTACGCCATGCTGTTATTCCGGGAGGGGCTGGCTGAGGTGATGCAAGTTTTGGAAAGAGGCCCACAAAGGCAACGAACGTAACAAAACAGGAACTAAGGCTTCATAAACTTGTTCTCTTTTAATGTATTATTAGGATTAAGTTGTTGACAAGTCTGCTACAATCTCTAAACACACTCAGCAATACTAAAGTTAGCTTTTCCTTTCACCATCAGTATTACATTGATGCATTGCTAGTGCCTAGTTTATGGGAGAAAGCCGGAATTTCCATCCGTATTCAAGGAATACCGACTTGTAGCCAGCCACAGAACTTAGTAGAGGAGACAGACCTCGCCAATACATATACTACAATAACACTTCAGAAGCCAACGCATATTAGTAAATCAGCATGTAACATTAAACCCATAATGATTACTCAAGTACATATATATCCGTATCGTGATACAATTAAGCTATAATCACGTTTCTCATGTCTGCAGTCGATATAATAAAAACTTCAACTTGGAGTTTCTTGTCTCATTTGGCAATGATGCTCTCTTTTTCACCGTGTTCAATAAACCAGAAGGTTTTTATTTCAAACAAGCAATTAAATGCTTTGATTCCGTGGCCTAAGACTACAGTACCCGTTGGATCCATTCATCTCCCAGGGTTGGTAACAGAAAACCCCTTGATAGGGAAATTGAAGTTGATGTGATGGACCTCCATATCGCCTACACCATGCGGCATATAAACGGATTTGTCCGCATCCTTGCTCGACTCGTAGTCCCTCCACCCGATGAACCCAAGCCAGATAGTGCCCTGATCAGGTGTGTTTGATGCCCCAATACCCGAGTGGGCAGCAAAACAACCTGGTAAGGTTTCTGCCTTTTTAAGCTTGGTAGCCATCTCCTCTGCGTTGCCACTACAGTGACGAACCGTAATAACCTCACAGATAGGGCTGTTGATGACCTGAGGCGGCGGAGGGACGAATGTGCTCGTATCGAGATCAAATCTGGGACATTTGGCAGGGATAGGTCCGGCAAGTACAGGCTTCAGAGCCTCAACTGCTTGCTGGTGTTGCGGGGACTTCCCAAATGCAGCGCGACTCTCCAAAGAGGCCCAACCTATGAGAGACGCAACATCGTAAGTAATGACAGGCACATGCTGGAAGTGATGGATGGGTGCGAGTGGATGAGAAAGGTACGTACTAGCCATTATCTCCAACTTATGCGAGTCTTCCTTCCAAGGACCCCATCGATAGCGGAAATAACCATCAGAGTCTTTTACAGATAACAAGAATTTCTTGTATTCCTCTTTCCAATCCGGAACATCTCCTACGACGTCAAGAATAATCCGTGTAGGTCCAATACTCGGTGGGGCAGCCATGTCGATCGACTCTATGGGTATGAGTATGCTTGAATTTCGCGAATGAAGAGTATGGATAGCTCAATGATTGACCGTGCATTTCGATTGGAGGTTTGCGGCGCTTCTTATACTTCTCTAGGCGCCAAACAAAGCAGCACCTTGCGCAATGCGCATTGGATTCATGATTGCTGTCTATCCGAATTCTGGTTTCCTTTGTATCATGCATAGATTACCGTAGCGGGAAGCCTCAACGCATTCCTTTTGAAACATGCCGCTTAGGCTACGTAAGGACGGTTGACCAATTGCAGATTGCATCCCTCCTTCGCACGTCGGTTGGAGAAGTGCTGGGTTTGTCCAAGCTGAAAGTTTACGGAGGTCGCATACCAATTATCTGCTATGACGCCCGCACATTTACTACTACCCGGGGGTGTTACATGTAATCAGTTATAATCAGCCCATGAGTAGCAGGATCTTCGCGTCACAGAGTGATGAGTAAACCCTCTGGGTGACCTTTGTGGTCTCACGCCAACAAACGCAACACGAGCCCGTCCGGCCAGGTCTTCGTAGAAGCGCTCCGGATACAAAGCAGTTGAATGATCCAAATATAAAATGACATGGAGGAACTAGGTGCTGGATTAGAGTGAGGGCGATAGAGGCTAATCAAACAATACTGGCTAGCATTGATTTCAAGTGACATTAGCTTTGAGAGCAATGCCTTTTAGCAGTTAGTTTATATTTCATGGGTATAAGTTGAACTTGACCGTCACCCTTGTAGATTCACATAAGGTGCTCTCATCATGAAGCTTTCAACGCAATGCTTGATCCGCTGTTCAAACCGATGATTGGATGAAGCAAGACCATTCTGTGTCGGCTCACTAGGCCGCACGGGGCTCTGAGAAAATAAGAATTATATTATTCATCGCCGTGTTTTCCCGTAGATGTCTTGAAGATGTACACAATTTGAAAATGGATGCACATTCTTCAACTATGTTTCACAAACTGCGTAATATGCTTGAAGCTGAGTATGGCATTGTCGCCAGGATAGGGGCAACGGCCTAGGATTTGACAGCCATAGTTGCGGGCCATCGGCCCACCAAGTAGAAAGAAGGAGCGTCCAATGGCATTCGGCAATTCTCGGAACCAAATAAAATAGTTAAGAACGTTCAGGTCAATAGGAATGCGTCGTCGGATGTGCAGGATGTCACTGATCAAATCTGAAACCAGGTAACCATGTATATCATCGAAGGATTTTGTTGATGTTACACAACATTCTCATTCGTCACTGAGTCAGTCACTACGTCAAATCTCATATGGGCTTATGTTCATTTAGTATATGAGAGGTCTATCTTTATACGTTATAGAGTCATAAAATCCAATCTCAATGCGGTCTGCCAATTTTCCTCTCAACAAGACCCAGCCAAATGTGGTACGACCAATGAGGTATACTACGGACGAGAATTGGAATGTCAAAGCTCTGCTGGCCGCTGTTGATCACCTCCGGGATGTTGCTCCAGGTCCGCAGTCGCCATTCTGTACAAGTGTCCTTGACTTTCTGGGGAATGGTCAATCGCTGGGCTTCCTCCGGCTGTACCAAGAGCTGTGCTAATAAACCAGCCGAGGCGTGCTAATCAATGCGGCAATGAAACGGCCAGAATCCAGCGTTCTCATTCAAACGGTCAGCAAGTGGATAACTTTAGACAGTAAATCGACCTTGTCGTCTTTTTATCCAGATGCTTCTGATTGAGCAATATATATTTTGTACCGAACGTTGTTGTCTGATATATGTCATTCACATCTGCCTGAACATGTAGCTTGGACTGAATGTCATTTGAGTTGATAGTTCCCATCACTAATAAGTGTCATTAAATTGAGCACAGCCTGAAAGGACCACAATTTTGGCAGACAGCGGTTTTCAGGCCGCATTTTCTATTTACAACGCAAATTGCGGCTCTTATGCAGACCGCTTCACAACGAATGCACCACGCTCAATGGTGTTGATCAGGATGTGGCCACTCTTGAAGTAGGGGTAGTGGCTCCAAGTACCGACAAAGTCGATAGATCCCCCGTTAGGCATCGTGTCATCCTCAGGGTAAATGTCGAAGAATCCAACCTCGGAAACCTTTCCTCCAGTGGGGTCCTCGGGCAGAGAAGAAACATCAAGAATACGAAGTCCGGCACCGTAATGGCTCTGGAAGGCAAAGCCGTCGACGACAAATTGGTTATGGTCAATTCCGTAGGCTTCGCTGCGGTAAAAGCTGCAGCAAATGATGAGTTAGTGTCAAATCAAAGGGAGGGCCAGAAGGTAGAGAAGAGTCGACCGCGTACCCAGTTTGCTTAGGAGCCTCGAGACTTCTGATGTCCCAGAAGTAGGTGATGGGGTAGCCGGATGCAGCAGGTCCAGTGGCATCAACCTCATCATACTCGTCGTCGAGGACAAGGTACTCCTGCCACTCCATGTTCGTGACCCAACCCTGGTGAGTATCTGCATTTGTAATCAGTATGAAAATCGGACCATTGCGCAAATAGTGTCCATGACTTACAGCTAGCACCCTCGTAGGAGGTACGCGAAATGATATTGGTCTCGTTCTTATTGGTAACATCGTAAATGGTCAAGGTGTCTTCGTTGTAGCCGTAGCAGATGTCACGACCGAAGTACTTCTCATCAGGGCCACGGTAAACAAGGCACTGAGCATCATGGACGTAACCATCGCCGGCGGCACAGCCGGGAGAGGTGGGCTTGGAGGGGTCGCTGAGATCGATAAAGATCAGACCAGAGCGGCAGGCACTGTTGCGAGGCTGAGCGCCGACAGCAACTGCGTACTGCTTCTCCTCGTTGATGACGATGTTGTGGGTAGAACCTGCAGGCAAGCCGTTCCACCAACCTGTCAAATCACGCTGGTTGCTGAAAGTGACGGGGTTTGCGGGGTCAATATCCAACAACTATCAGTATAAGTTAACAACACCCAAGCGGAAAAGCGATTCATGACTCAACTGACCTTGGTCAGGTCAAAAATCTGAACGCCATGGCGAGAGGCCTCACTGCCAACAACGATGTAGTTCTTGTACCCACGGAGCTCTCGCCAGATAGACTGGCTAGAGTACTGAGGAAGACGACCGAGATAGACAAGCTTGCCCTCGGAGGTGATCTCGGCAAAGGCAGCGCCGTCAGCCTGAGCGATGATGGCAAACTCGCGACCATCGGGACTGGTCCATCCCCAAGACGAGGATCCCTGACCGGCTCTTGAGCCTAGGTCGGCGTGACTCTTGAAGTCGTAGAAGTCAATCTTGTTGCACCTGAACGTGTTGTTGGCGTCTCCAGGCACAACCTCCGCAACACCGTTGATGCAGGCGACGGGACCCTCCTCGGCGAGGCGGCTTCTATAGACGGCAGAATCCATCTCTCCGTTCTCGATCTGGCGATCCCATGATGCCTGTGAACCGAAGTCAGCAAAGCTGTTGTGAACTCCATATTGGACGGCTGCATACCTTCTTACGGGCCATTATGTCCTTGTGGATGACACCGCTGTCGTAGATCTCAGAGATGAGTTCACTAGGCGTCATCTCCTTTGCCGAGGCTCCGGAAAGGAGGGCCGAGACGGCCAGGGCTGCCAAGGTGGTAGCCTTCATTTTGCGTGGTTCGGTCGGGGATTCTAGGGGTTTTCAAGAATAGGAATTGATTGACGAGTGAACCACAATGAGAGGAGACAAAGAGTGGGAGAAGTGTAGATCCAAAACGTCTATTGACTGCGCGCAACTGTAACTCTTTTATGTCTTTGCAGTCAGCTATGAGGAGGCGGTGGCATTCAAAAGCTAACCCTTGGGCCTCGCTGTGTCCTCCACAGCTTTACATCTCAAAAGCATGCTTTCCTTTCTTCTTCTTGCTAGAAACAGAAGGTCGACAAGAGGCGAGTGGAAGGTTGGAGCCATACTACGCAGTCAGTTTCCAACGTCACGATGCGGCGCACTACTACCCGAAGAAGCAGGTGTTTTTGGGACAAGGCCCGCTCTGTACTTGGGTAGGCGAATCACCGGCTCCAATGCCCCAGCCCGGCAGTCCACCATCCTTCGACGCAAATTTGCCTACATACCCGTCCGGGCTTGGCGGCAAGCATCAGTGTACGGAAAGGCTCCCTAATCAAGGGGCTGTATTACGCTGAGCATATCGTATTGGGCAGCGCCCATAGGTGTGCCAAGCGCGGCGGTGTAACACTCCGTCGTATCATCCGAGCATCGTCACTAGACGATGCCCAGTCACGATGTCATTCTGAGCTTTTGTACAGGCTCACCTTCTCGAACGAATCGAATTGTGTAACATCGATAGATGGCGTCAAGAGATTACATTCGTGCGAGATACTGCAGCTGTTGGATCAAAAAGCTGCTTTTCGCCCATCTGCATACTGATCAGCCAGACCGTTACCCAAGACATTTGTGGATTCAGCCAATTGCGTATATGCTTGTAGAACCTTGATGGCCAAGCTTCTTGTTGCGGCGACGTTCCGAACAAAGAGTCTTGGCCTATTAATATATCTTATCGTCACCGTTGTAGCCCTCCAGGAGTCAAGAAACCAACCAACCAAATGCGCTTTCTTGTACAGTACAACTCTCCTTATGATTTACTAATCGCGACAAATACCGACTCGTGATACTTTTTACTTGTTTCGTGGGTTGATTTGTTGATTCCGCCCCGATTTGTCATCACCAAGACTGGTATCTCACGACCCCAGGTTATCTCGCAGTGGCTATACAGCAAGTTCACAATACGGAGGTCAGAATGAAGTAAAGATTCGGGACGGTAGACTAGTCTTTGTAAAGCTACCCTGCCTGAATAATGACAGTAATGGTCATTGTGACATGGCTGGCTGTTTTTGGACCCACCGCGACGAAAACGCCGCCAGCGCACCGGCCAAATAAGGCCCACCCATCTGGAGACCCGGAGGTGATCGAGTTCCTGATACAGAAAACTTGCTCAACCTTAAGGAGACTTCATGTCAAGGTTGGAAAAATGTATGCTTTCGACCTCGGTATGCATCGGTCAGTTGTTTGTGATTGGATACGGTAGATATCCTCTAGAACCGTGGTTTTATGTAGTTGCGAAAATATTAGACAGCGTACCAACTGTGACATGCAAGGGGGTGTTCCAGACCAACTGCTATATACCCAAAGACGACACAGCATGGGTCTGGTGTGATTGATAGATCTTTTTCCATATTTAAAACTCCAATAAATATCTTCCTGTTCTTTCTATTTGTTGACGTAATGCCCTAACAACTCCATGTCACCGGATTAGAGTACTTGGTGGCGCATCCTCCAGGCTCGTTAGCTTTAACTATCATTACTTCTCTTTCCTCAAACCTTCTATGAACTTTGTCTTCATTATATTTTATCCTGGATAATAAATTGTTTGTAGTGTCTTTCTCTTGGTTAGTTGACCCGACATCCGATCTTTTCTCAAGCCTCAACAAGAGACGTATATAGATTCAGGGTCAGGTTCACGACGTCCTTTCATTGGAAATCCGGGTATATTTTACTCAGAGCTCAGACCATAATATGATTTGCATTAGCCGGGTCCAGACTTTCCCAGTCTGTCTGTGGATGTATCGTGAGTTCAAGCCGAGGAGCGCCGCTGTCTTCTGGTATCGGCGGTAAACCCCCCAAGGGTACTGCTCTTTCCCACACAGCTTCCCAGGAATTTCTCGCTTCAAGTTCATGGTGTTTCCACCGCTGTATCCTCACTCTTTCAGATGAGCTTCCAGCCTCTGCCATCGGCCATTCCTCTCGCCGGCCGTCAATCGACTTTGCTGTGGGGCTAAAAACATCATTTCCAACACATTGCACCGTGTCTGTTTCCAAGTCTTCTTCCTGGGCGATTGCTCCCATTTCTTGGCTACTGAGAGTTCCAGGCTCAGTGTCCAAGTTCGTTTTGAGTTGTAGGCTGTTGGCACCCTCTGTCATGGGAGCCTCAGTACGAGCAGATCTTGTTTGCTTCCCGGTCATCAGACTCCATAAAGCAAATGTACTCTGGGAATTTTCCTTCTTGTTCTTGACCTCACGTACAGACCTGGGCCTGTTACCCGTAGGCTTCGTTTCGCGTTTTCTCAGGCGTTCGTAAAGGAGGTTTAGCGATGGCAAACATGCGCAAATCAAACCAACCACAAGTTCCAGTGCTCTAAGCCGATTGTCAGCCCACAACTCGCTTATACTCTGAGTGGAACACCAAACTTACGTTAAGATATCCAAGACGACAAAATCGGCAGTCACGTCTTTGGAATAGATGAATTGAACAACTAGATACATGCGATAGATAGTAACGGCTGTGGCAATGCCGCCCGCACCGAGAAGCGTCAGGATCTTAACCTTCTTCCACAAAGGCAAGCGCAGGTCCCAAAGAAGCGGCATCGGAATCACAATAATTACGACATCGGTGAGGATCGCGAGGCTCATGTCAGCGATGAAGATTTTACGCTGGTTGAGACACTTCGATTTCGGTATGCGAGGGTCCCAGAACGCAGATATTGGCCAGCAAACGACCGTTTTCAGTGTCTGTACGGGGATGTAGCTGATGAACAAGGCGATGATGAAGATCCGAATACCACGGGAGGTTCGCTCGTGGACCTTGAAGACTCGACCCTCGAAGAGCAGGAGCGTGACCTTTGTGAAATATGCTGCCGGTATATAAATGACGGAACTCGCATAGAGCCACTATCCAATGCTGCGTTAGCCAATTTTCATCGTGATCCTTGTATGCAGAATACACACCCGCATCACGTTCTGGTATGCCTCCTTCGTTATCTCCCAGACATGGTATCCCTCGCCGTGGTGCGCCATCACAAATACAACCGCAATGTAGAGTACAATGAGAAGCTAGGATTGTTAGTTTGTTGCATACCATCCACAAAGCTGGGCTTTTGCAAGACACTTACGTATGCTATAGCACAAGTCCCTGCACCAAGTGTGAGTTTGACGTCGGTTATAATGGATTGCTTCTCTGTTGGGAACACTTACAGTCTTCTAGCAGGAGTGAACCTGACTGGAAGGATTTCACATATGCTCTGATAGCAAAGAAAATCGTCGTGGCTCCCACCATAACACTCATTGCTATGACGTTCAGCAACCACCCAGCATCTCGAGGATTCTCGAAATTGGGAATGACGCCCGGCGGAGGAGGAAACGCCCCCACCGGGCTTGCGGCATTGCTCATTGCTTCTCTGATCGCCCAGTACGAGCTATCATGAGCCGCATGACGGGACTCGTCGCTTCACAGCCCAGCTTAACGTGGCATAGTAAGCCGTACTTTGAAGCTGCAAGTCTCATTCCAACAATGTCCCAAACGTAAATGAGAGTCCCAAGCTGCTGACAAAAGACTTCAAGGATCCGTGACGAAAGATGCATGCTCCTGCAGCCCTGACTCGCCCGATCGTATCTCTTCAAAATAGAGTTTGTCGGGTGAGCGGATGTATTACTGGGTCGAAGCGCAAGCCGTTCTTGGCAAACTGTAAGGAATGGTCTACAGCAGGCAAAGCTCCCGCAAACACAGGGCCTATGGTGGTTAAATGTGAGACGCTGAAAAAGATCGGATAGTGGTTGGGAGGAAATTCCGCGATGGTCCTACTAACAAAAAATCTTCTGTACCACTAACAAGAAGATATGGGCATAAAGCAGTGGTTCAGAGGCGCTTCTTTCATGGGTCCGATTGGGGTGATGCTCTGAGCTGCTACTAGATCACCGCTTCCCAATCAGATAAGGGGTTAAAGGGTGGCTCATGTGAGAATTGCGCTTCTTCCAACTTGAGTGCCAACGATTTTGAGAGGAAGATATCACGGAGGCATGGGGGGTGAGAATTAAGGCAGCGCTCCCATCGGCTGTGCCTTTGTTTGATTCGAAGCCAAAGCGTTCTAGAAGACGTACAGATCCCTCATTCCAGTCCTTTCGGCTGGTGCAATGGTTTTCGACATAAATAAACTTTCGGCCATCAGGTTCAACTGCTCTGATGTCTAATCCTTCCATTACACTATCTACCATTGTGCCATATCATAATCATAACCACCTTTACCTTTTTTGCTTGGGGTCGTATGATGTGTGGCTTGCGGCGCTCGTCCAACTCCTACAGACGGACCATTTTTTCTCCCTCGTTACTGCCGTCTTATCCCTTTGAGCGTCCGAGTCGACTTTTGGGGTCTTTCAGTTTGCAGCAGCCAAGTGGACAGCGGAAATGCCCAAGAAGAAAAAAGAAATAAAGAGACACAAGATTCTAAAATGTTAATTTCCCCGTACTTCATACAACCAATCAGCCGGAGTCAAGCGCTTGGCAGGTAGGTAGCTTCGATTGACTTTCGTGTTGACTACCAACCAAATCGGAGTTTCAATAGCCGGAGGAAGTCAAAGTCCAATTCGGTTATGATCAACAAAAAGACTTCGTGTTCTTGATTCATGTTCATCGTTTCAGTTAGGGTGATTGCAAAGTTACAAGACTAGGACATAGTTCAAAGCGACTAAAACCCCGATTCTAGGGCAGTGGAACATGACCATGTTTGTTTATCAGCAATCATTTTGTCATTTTCAGGGTCAACGAATCCGGAATATGGGACTTTCTTTTGTGAAAGATACGATTCTAAAGTCCTAACTGGATTGAATGGCGAACGGCATTCCTTGAAATTTGATTCGATCTGAGACTTATGGCCAGGAGGATGATCATGCTTTCAGCTGGGTCATTGACAATATGTCCTGCATCATTTGTGCTCCAAAAACTTCTACTTCAACTAGAAATGAGCCCTTTGTCGGGTAATCGTCAGAGAAAAACCATTAGAACTATCATCTGCCTCGGATGACGCAGAACAATTTCATCGTTCTTTCTGGGTCTAACGTTTTCCTCGACAGGCTGTCACCTTGTTGGGGACCGAACTTTCACCACAAGTTGTGACCAATCGGGACCACATATTGACACCCTGGGAAACGTTCGCCGAAAGTGAAGGGAATCCGGGCGCTGCGTTATGCCGGTGGCCAAAGTCGACGAATGTTGGTGTGGGTGCATGATTGAACATGTAAACGTATGCATAGTAAGTGCGACTTCATAGATGAGAGGACAATCAAGTTTGAGACTTGTTAGGTAGCAGTTTATTGAACACAACATTCTCCAAACACAGGATGACGTGCTTTCACAGGCCGTAAATAGCACATATTGAAAAAGATCTCCGAGCATCTGTCATCTGGCTCATGAGAGGTGGTGGCCAGCATAGGGGAACCACATCCGAACACAAGCTGGAACAGCCAGGTAATAATGAGCGTGTTGCTGATCGGCGACATCGGTTTCATCGGTCCTGCATAGTATGAGGTCTGTTTATCTGCGTCAGAGCCAAAATGGCAAAGTGAAAATTTATAAAACATAATACATATCACTACCCTGCTAAGTCACGATGGTCCACGGTCGCAGACAGACGCCACCTATCTGGTTTGAGGTGATGGCGGAAACCATTAAGTAAGGTTTCCTGTAGCACCACTTAGCCACCGCTTTTTACTAGTATTAATGCCGCCCAAAGACATGTGTCCGTACCACAGACGCTGAGAAAAATGCCCACCAAAAAACAAAAGCGATCATAATCATTCATTCCAGATTCGACATGTACAACCTAGCACCACGCACCAAGCAAAGACATGCGGATACGGTGACTCTAGAGCCACATGTAATGAAGTTACTATCCCCGGACTATAGTTTGTTAGGTAATGAGAATTGAGGCCCAAGGAACTCTTCAGAAGTAGGGAGATCTTCAAGCCCAATTGTCATAAAGTCGAAAGCAGAAGGCTTATGTTCGTCATTTTCTGTCAATTCAGCGAAAAGGGTGCTTCAATTTATCATTCAACATGCTTTTATCAAGATTCCAAGCATGATACGAATCCGTTTATCTCTTAGAAACTAAAGAATTCTAGTTCCAACATCTGCTTTCAACCAGAATTCCAACCATAAACTGTAAAGGGTGAAGATATATTGCTGTTTGTCTAGGTTTTTGTTAGTATCACAGGGATCGCAATCGTAAAGCAGTAATAGTTTAATTAACTACTAGTTACTTATTAAGATAGATAATAGGAAAAAGAAGAAGAAGTTGTTGCCGCAGATATTTGTAGTAGTGTAAGTAAGCCGCCAGGGTAAGTCACGTAATAGTAAATCACGTAACTATAAATTAGCTCTACTATTAAACAGTTAAATATCCTAACACTAGTAACTTTCTAAAGTAAAAAAAAATTACTATAAATAGCCTAGATACTGCCTAGCAGCTAAAAAGCTTAAAAACGTAATAAAAATTAAAAGCCTAAAAGTATTTAATACTTTTTATTTATATAATTTATTATATAACTTAAGAAACTTATCTTTTTATACTAATCTAAACTATTCTATTTCTAACTAGTTATTCTAGCGCCTTATTAGGTAATAATTTAGTAAATCTATTAGTAAGATTATTATTACTTTATATTTATTATACCTTATAGACCTTATATTACTTATATAACTACTAGAGGGCTATAATATTAATTATAAGCTTTTTTTTTATAGTCCTAAGCTTAATAAGGCACTTATAAAGTAAGTATAAGTTAGTATAAAGGATTATTAGTATATATAGTAGCTTAAGGTAGTTAGTAATTATTATAATAGTTATACTAAGTGTATAAGTAATATTAGCGCTAGTAACTATACTATAGATCTTAAAGGCTAGTACACTTTAAGTAACTTATTTACACTTTATTAAGCTAAAGTAAATAATATTACTAGTTATAGTAAATCTATTACCTATAGTAGTACTTATAAGTGCCTTATTAGTAAGAATAATAATAAATCCTAGCTATAAAGTAAAGTCCTTATTATTTATAAATAATCTATTTATAAAAATAAAAAGCTTTATAAATTTAAAGTTAAGTAAGTAAAATAATAGACTATAGTTAAGGTTATTTATTTATTATATAATATAATAGTTAAGTGCTTTAATCTTATTTATGTTAGGTAATTAGTGTTATATTATAATAAAGTAGTTAAAGTACGCTTTAGGCTAGCAGACTAATATAATATATATACTATAGGCCTATTATTTAACGTACTACTTAAGTGCTTATAGAGATTCTTTATTAATAGGTTAAAGTCTCTTACCTTAGCCCTTTTATTAGAGAAAGATTTTCTCCTTAGTAGTTAGAGATACTACACTACTATTAAAGGTAAGCAGGTTATTAATAGTAAGGATTTACTTCTCCTTAGTAGTAAATATAGCCTTAGTAAGCTTATTAGCCTTATAAGTAGAGAAGGATTTATTTAAAAAGGTAATAATATTATTAGTCTATATACTAATAATCCTAAAGTCTAGGCTCTCTATATTAGTAATTAGTAAGTATAGATTAAAAGTTAAAGTCTTTATCTAAAGCTTTTCTTTATAGTAGTAACTATACGTTACTTACTAGTAAGTACCTACCTCTATAATACTATATAATAGCTTTACTACTTATATAATAGTGCCTTTTAGATAGAGGTCCTATATTTATAATAAAAGGTATATAAGAATTATATAATTTAATAAGGTAGTTAACTATATATATATCTAGGTAATATTATATAACTAAAGTAAGAAATTATTATTATTATAGATAAAGGATAAAGTAAAAGTAAGAATAAGGTACTAGCTAGCTTACTAGATTATAAGTAACTAAGTAAGAATTACTTTTTTACTATTATTAGTATATCCTTAGATAATAAGGTAGGATTTTTTATATAGTTTTTTATTTTTACCTTTTACTTTATTAATAATCTATAATTTAAATATTTATATTTTAGTATGCTTATTCTTATTATATTAAATAAAGTAAAATACCTTATAGGTAATAAGCCTTTTAATTTTAGTAGTAGTTACTTACTTAAAGGGTTTTCTTAAGGTAGTAATAATACCTTTTTTTTATAGCTTAATTAATAATAGTTAGTTAGCTTTTTTTTTTATTAAGACGTATACTATACTTATAGTAGTAAAAAAGGCAGTAGGCCTAATAGTAAAGCTAGTTTTATTAAAAAAATTAATATACCTCTATAGGTAGCTAGCTTTTTACTTTAGCTATAGGTATATAGTAATAGTAATACTATTATATATTTCTTTAGTAGGTATAAGGACGTTAGTAAGTAATAAGGCTGCTACGCTATTATTATTATTCTTTTTATTACCTTACTTACCTACT